CAGTAACATTTGTAGAAGATAATTTAGGAGAATATTTTCTTTTTTCTTTTCTTTTTTAAAAAGATTTTATTTATTTATTTGACAGACAGAGATCACAAGTAGGCAGAGAGGCAGGCAGAGGCGGGGGGTGGGGTTGGGGAAGCAGGCTCCCCACTGAGCAGAGATTCCAATGTGGGGCTCAAGGACCCTGGGATAATGACCCGAGCTGAAGCCAGAGGCTTTAACCCACTGAGCCACCCAGGTGCCCTAGGAGAATATTTTCATGACCTGGAGGGCAGGCAAAGATTCCTTAGGACATAAATTACACCAGCTATAAAGACAAAAATTAATAAATTGGACTTAATTAAGAATTTCTCTTTACCTTCCAGAGAGTTAGAAGGCTAGAACAGAATGGGAATAAGCACTTGTCATCTATTTATTGGGGGAAAAGCACCAGATAGGATATGTAACTGTATCCTATGAATTAATAAGAGACAATCCACCAGAAAAAAAAATGGGCAAAACATTTGATCAGATATTTTTCAGAAATACAACTAAAAGTGTATAAAAGTTTACACGACATCATTACCAAGAAGGTTCAAATTAAAAACACAATGAAACACTCAACGGCAAGTGTTGAGGAGGATGTGGAGGAACTGGAACTCTTAAACATTGCTAAGGTGGAGACACACACAACCACTTTCAGAAACTGTGGTAGTATCTGCTAAAGAAGGACTTACACCTAGCCTTTGGCCCCAGAAGTCCACTCTTCAGTCCCTATAGAAATGCCTACATATGTTCCCCATGCTAAAGAATGGTCAGGGTAGCCCGACTTGGTAATTTCCTAGACTGGAAACACCCCCAATGAGCATGAATAATAGAATAAAATAGGGATTTAATAAATAAATAATAGGCATTTAAAATTTATTTATTTAATAAATAAAATAGGCATAAAAATAATGGGATGCTATACAGAAATAAAAATGAACTTACAGCTACATTCAAAAATGTTTGTTTCCAACAAAGGAGTATGTTCTGTATGATTACATTTAAATGAAGTTCAAAAACAAGCAAAACTAATTCAGAAGTTAGAATACTTGTTATCCTTGGGGAATAAAGGGCAGTGACTGCAGCAGATGGGTAGATGAAGGGGCTCCTGGAGAGTTGGTGATGTTTGAGTTCTTGGGGGTACTGGTTGCCAGATGTGTTCCTTATGGGTAATGTATTAAACTATACCCTTATACTTTCTGGTATGTACGCTGTGCTTCAACATGCAAATCCAGTCAGCTTGATCCAGGATTTTTTCCTGGTTAGTACCAAGGCCAGCTGGCATAGCGTTTGGTCCAACATTCTGGAATTACATGATCTCGACCTCGATTCATAGCCGGGATCTAACATTTCCTATCATGGAGATCTTGGCCCAGTTATTCACTCTCTGAACTTCAGTTTCTTCACCTGTAAAATAGGCTTATTATGCTACCCTGTGTAAAGGGATTAAATCCTCTCAAAAAAGATTAGCTCTTGTTGGTCTTATCAGTCTTTCTTCTACGGACTGTGGAGAAGATGGAATATGGCCAGTGGAAGAGGAAGGAAAAAATGAAACTCTAGTTAAGAGACATTTTTGGGGTGCATGAATGACTCTGTCGTTAAGAGTATGTGACTCTTGATCTCGGGGTTGTGTCCCACATTGGGTAGAGAGATTGCTTAAAAATAAAATACTAGGAGCGTCTGGGTGGCGCAGTGGGTTAAGGCCTCTGCCTTTGGCTCAGGTCATGATCCCATGGTTCTGGGATCGAGCCCCACGTCAGGCTCTCTGCTCAGCAGGGAGCCTGCTTCTCCGTCTCTCTCTGCCTACCTCTCTGCCTACTTGTGTTATCTGTCTGTCAAAAAAAAAAAAAATCTTAAAAAAAATACTAAAAAAACAAAAAATGAAGATATTTTCAAGGTGAAACCTGAGATATGATGGTGAGGTGCAGAAAAAGTTCAAAAGCTTGACTCCACTAAGCCCCATTCCCTGTCTCTTGCCTCCTGCCCACCTCTCACATGGGGTAGAGACTAACCTGGTGATCTCTGGCCGGTTAATCTTGTGGATATCACATTGTGGAGTTGGAAGGGCAATGCAAATAGCGTTCAGAAGCCAAACACAAGTTCCCACGTTTGAGCCAAACTCAAACACAAAGACCCAGACTCGGGAGGTAAATTCTCAGTGGTGAGACTATGGGTTATATTTATGTTCTCCCTGGAATATTTTTCTGTTTTATACAGTAAGTGTGTTGCTCACTCAGAACAAATCACTGTACCTGATATATCCATGCCTACATATTTCTATCCATATACATAAAAAAAAAAAAGAACTCCCAGATTATAGATGTGCCAGAAACTAGGATCCAGAACACATCCAGAGAGGGAAAACACTGTTTTTGATGTGCAAGTGTCAAGCCAACAGGGTTTCCTGGGACAAGACAGAGTATGGATGACTCTAAATCATCCCTGCACATTTCCTGTTTTGGGGTGGGGGGGAGAGACTCCTAAGCAGGCTCCATCAGAGTCCGAAGCGGGGCTTGATTCACGACCCTGAAATCATAACGGCAGCCAAAATCAGAGTTGGATGCTTAATTGACTGAGCCACGCAGATGCTCCCACATTTCCTAGTTTTGACTGTTTCTCTCCCCCCGCTCAGTTATCTACACTTTTCTCTTTTTGCAGCTAAAATTAGGCCAACCTTTTTTTTTTTTTAAAGATTTTATTTATTTATTTGACAGAGAGAGATCACAAGTAGATGGAGAGGCAGGCAGAGAGAGAGAGAGGGAAGCAGGATCTCTGCCGAGCAGAGAACCCGATGTGGGACTCGATCCCAGGACGCTGAGATCATGACCTGAGCGGAAGGCAGCGGCTTCACCCACTGAGCCACCCAGGCGCCCTAGTCCAACCTTTTGTTACAGTATTTGTAACATAATATTTGGAAACCCATTGCCAAAGAAGGGGAATAAAAGAGTTTTCTACTCACTGTTTCTTAATTTCTGAAACTAGTCTGGATGGAATGATCACTTGTAGGAAGTTGTCCTAGGATGCATTTACTAGCAATTGGAACAGAGATCTCTGCTGAAGGGAGGGATTTTCTGGGGAGTTGGGTACCTCACAAAACATAGGAAACCTTCAAGGCAGGTTCAGTGATAACATCAGGTAGTGTCCGGTCTGGAGTCTGGCTGGCTGGGTGGGAAGGAGACAAACTCTAGGAGGGTCAGACCAGAACATTCCAGCTAGTCGTGCATTCACCCAGGGAACGTTCACTGTGTCTGAATCATGTGCAAGGCACCGTGCGAAGGGCAAGTGAAGCTGCATCAAAATTAGATGTAACCTGCTCTTCAGGAAACACCTACTCTGGGATGTTCTGTGCTCCTGTCTTTGCCAGCCACCAACATACGAGCACACCCTGCGAAAGGAGCAGGGACAGGGTTTGAGGAACGTGAGTGGCTGGGACCTTTGTCCCTGGTAGTGCAAGACTGGCTGGCTCTGGGATGTGTGGAGACGGAAGGCTGCCTGCAGAGAAGGCTGAGGAAGGCCTGGCTGGGGGTGGGTGGGCAGGCAGGGGGCAGGGGCATACGCAGAGTGGAGAGCTAGCTGAAGCAGGGAGGGGCAAGGTGCGAACCAGACGTCGGCGCCTCTGTGGTCATCTAAGACAGAGTTGGATTTGGCAGGGGCTCCAGATTTTGGGTGGGGCGGCGGGTGTGGACTCCTGAATGGGAGAGAGGGCAGGTCCGAGAGGTATGTTAGGAGGTTATGAAGCAGCGGTGGGGAGGATGAATGGAACTCAGAGTCCTAGAAAATCGTCTTTCATCATAATTCCATACAAGCCTGAGGCCTGAATCCGGAGCCCTTCAACCACGTACTCTGTGAAAGAGCTGGTCTTTTTTTAGAGATGCGTTCAGCTTCTTACTTAGAGCCAAGCACTGTGCTATTGCCAGCAGAGGTTGGTTTTAACCAAGCAAAGATGGGATTTTCTTGACTACCATGGCTCGGAGTTAGAGCTGGTGTGCTGCTCCGGAAGCTCCTGAGAGCTCCGAGGCGCCCTCTCGCGCTGGGGAGAAACTGGCAGGGAGGGAATAGGTTCCCAGCGGTTTCACTGCTCCGGGTGGAGAGCTCACGTTGCTCTGGGCAATCTCCTCCCCCCTCGGAAAGGAAATGAGGGCGGGGCTAGCGGGACTCCCGCCCCTCTGCGTTGCCTTGGTGACCAAGTGCGTCCAGTCGCAGTTAAGCCTAGAAGGGCCCTGGCTGACCTGAGTGGTGCCGCCTTGCAGGTGGGACGTCAGGCCCCGGGGCGCAGGGCCTCCCTTCGTCCGCCGGGTTAGAGGGGATGGCCAGGGACTGCCCCCAGCACCCTCTCTTCTGCAGGCTGGCAGGGCTGGTGGCGTGAGAGGAGCCTGCTGGGTCTTCTCAGCATACAGTAGGTGCCTAATTAGCGTAGCCAGAGTCAGGTTGCTCCCTCCCTCCACCACCACCTCCTTGTGTCCACTCGTGGTGGTGGGGAGTAGCGGAGTGGGAAGTCAGGGGTCCTTGAACCCTGTTCAGCTCCAGGTTGGAGGTTCAAGGCCGGGTTAAAATCCAAACCGACGCCTTGGGCACGTTGACTTTTCCCAGGAGAGCTTGGGACAGTGAAGCACAAAACAATAACCACTTATTATTATTCTTTGCCCCCAAAGTTCGGGTTTGCACTCTGCCCGGTTGGAAGAGTCAGCCTTCTCCGTGAGTTCTGTCCTCACCTGAGGTTTGTTTCCTTTTTGTTTTCTTCCCCTCTCCTCTTTTTTTGTTTAAAATGGAAACCCTGATGTCTGAGAGGGACCCCAGGCTTTCTCTGAGCAGTAGCGTGCGTTGCTTGGGTGGGACTTGTCCTAGGCGGAGGACTTGTCCTGGAGGTGGGGGCGTCAGTTTCTCAACCTCAGTCGGAGTGGAGACCGAACCCCAGACAGGATTCCCAGACAATGAATTCCCAACAGGGGCGTTCAGCCAGCGGTCGAGCCAAGATGTCCTCGGTGGGGAAGGTGACCCAGGTTCCCAGCGGGAAACTCTACCAGCAGATCTTTGAGGCTGAGGTAGGTCGGTCCCTCTGTCACCCACTTCCCTTTCCTCCCCAAGCTTCCCTCCCTCTGAAGGCTTTTTTGCCTGGGAATCCAATGAAATAAGGCTTTGAAATTGCTTCGATTTAAAAATAATTCTTATTGGCTCTTAAAACATAGGAATACAAAATTAGAATATCTGTTCTTGAAAATTAAAAAAAATTTACATTAAGATTTTAATTAAATTAAATTAAATTAAATTTAAACTTAAATTATTCAGAAATAGCCAGAATTAACCAATAAATATCTTGGGACCTTTTTCTATGCACAAAAGGATTTCTAGTTTTTTCTATGTAAAAATGGGTTTGATTCTATACCAGTGTCTTGAAACCTGCCTTTTCCCTGTTAGCAGTATCACGTAGACCTTCCCCAGGTCAAGGGACATTCATGTACTTCAGGATGTTGAGAGGCTGCCTAGTTGTTCATCTCCGACCTCCCATCATGTATTAAAGCAACACCCTCTTGACAACCTCTTGATAGGTTGCTTGAATTGCCTTGTTGTCTATAAAAACTGCACAGACAAGAACAATATCTTACTGTACTGCTTATTTAAAAGGGATTTTCCTTCCTACTTTGAGCCCTGAATAATGCTTCCTGTAGAAGGCTTGGAAATTATACAAGTGTAAGGAAACCAAAGAATCAAATGACTTACATGATCCTGCTCCCGGAAGCAACACACCATTTCTTAACAGTTAGCACATGTTCTATGGGTCATCTTTCTGTAAGTTTAAAATTGTTTTATAGTCTTTCATAAGCATTTCCCTGTGCCATAAGAAGTCCTTTGTAAGTCTGATTCTTAATAAATTCTTAATAAATGCCTAACAGTCCACTGAAGGGACATACCAAGTTTACTCAGCCAGTCCCTATCACTGTACAGTCCCATTTTTCTAATTCCTTGTGATTAAGGATGCTGCGATAAGCATCTTAGCTCTCATTGAAATTTCTTAAGAAATACGTTTCTAGACAGCTGAATGTTTTGGGGGAGCATGTGGTTCGTTCCCTGGGTTGAAGGCCCCCCAGCAAAGTGCCTTCCTGCTGGGAAGTTCCCCTGTGACCTTACAAGACTGTGGGGTCAGGCTAGGGTGCTGGGGAGCCGGCTGCTCTGACCCACCACTGGGATCTTTTGTGGCCTCAGGCGCAGCTGGTGCGCTCTCTAGCAGCCTCCAGGAAGCATGCCTTGGAACGGTCTATGACCCCCAAGAATGGCAGGAAGCCCTTGATGAAGAAGATGGATATTCCTGAAGGAGAGATGATGTCTTTCCGGCAGCGGAAATGGGCACACAGCTTACCCAATGACTGGGTCACAGAAAACCCTGTTCTCTACAGGTAGGTCCTGCAGTCCACACCGCACCACCACACACTGGGGGGGTCAGAGTCTTTGAAAACTCAGAAAGATCTCACACTAGATGAGTGCCTGGTAGGAATGGAGTCCCAGGTACCTCCTCTGAAAGAGGTACTTTGCTGGTCTGTGTGCTGCTCTCTCCCTTCTGCTTCTTCCTATCCCCCACCCCCATGTCAGGAATGATTGATTTATTGAGCACCTAGGGCCAGGTACTGGGTTTGGGAGCCCACCCTCCTGGAACTTGAGGCCTTGATGGTAAAAATAAGCAAGTTCCCCCAAAGGTAGGAAGGCTCTGACCCAGAGGACAAGCGGTGGTGCAGAAGTGAGAAAGCCCCTGAGGAGAGGCCTCAGCTGAGACCAGAGGATGAGGGGAGGGAGGCACGGGGCAAGGCTCTGAGGCGGGAAGGGCTTGGTTCTCTCCAGAAGACCTAAGAAGTCCGTGGGCCTGGGGCAGAGGGGTGGGAGAGGAGGCTAGGAGAGGCCTGCACCACAGTCCGGATTTGGGCCTGCTGAAGTCAGCAACTGACCTGCCTTCTGAAGGTCTTCTGGCTGCTGTGGGCACAGTGTGGGAGGCCAGCCCAGAGGCTGGGAGGCCAGGGAGGAGCTGCCGCCGTCACTAGAAGCCTGGTGGGGCTGCGGGCCAGAGAGTAGCGGACTTCACGTCTGTTTTGGAAGCAGAACCCCCCAGATGAGGTAGTGGATTGGATGGGAGGAGAAGGCTCCTGAGAGTGCTGGGTCTGTGGCTTGAGTGCTTGCGTGGACGGTTGAGGCGCCACTCCCTGAGATGGGCGCATATGGTATTGGGGCCGGGAGACGGGGAGTTCCTTCTGAACCTCCATGCTTAGAAGTTGAACTTGAGATTCCCGAGCATGCCATTTCAGCTCCCTGAGCTCAGACGCCTCAAGCAGGAGAAAAGGAGAGAAAAGGAAACGGAGAGGCTGCATCTACCTCACTGGGGCGCTGGGGAGAACGTAGCAGGAGCTGACCTTCCCTTCGTGCTGCAAGCTGGCACAAGTCACAAACCCTTCTCAGGCCTGGGACCCTGAAGGGGAAGTCAGTCTTTCTTGACCTGCCCTTGTTTTCTCTTTCACCTGCCTTGGGGTGGAGATTGACCCGATGCTGGGTAACGGTCTCTGCCCCGACCTACCTTTGACTTTTCCCAGGGAAATCTCCTGCAGCTTCTGACCCTTAGCACCCTTAACTACCTCCAGAGGGGCAAACCCACTAGGCACCCAAGCCCAGGCTGGGAGTCAGTGCTGATGCCCAGTGCAGGGGTCCAGAGGCACAGATGGCAGGGCCCTGCTGATGCTACCCCTACTTCCCAGGAGGATGGTCTTGGAGCCTGCCTATGACTCTGGCTCCCTCAGGGTCTAAGCCCCCTCTCAGCTGACCTGAGAGTCCTTGTGCCTCCTAAGGTTTAGTCTAGGACCACCCATTATCCCAATAACCAGATTAGTCAGGACCTCTTAGCCCCCACAGGACAGTGTTTTAGAAAAGGCACTTCTCATGGAGGGTGCTGGCATTGTGCTGAGCTTGCTTCCTGGGATGGACAGACAAAGCCAGCTCTGCCCTGAATGCAGACCCAGAGGACAACTCCCTATGGGCTGTGGCAGGAAGGAAGATGCGTTTGTAACCTGCCAGGATCTGCCGCCCTCCGATGACTAGGGTCATTGACTCAGCATTGGCGTCTCTCCGCCAGCTTTGTCCCCTTCTTGAAAATTCAGCCAGGCAAAGCCAGCCAATTTGTGTGTTCCTTCACCCAGGGCAGGGCCTCTGGTGAGTGGAAGGGGAGCCCAAGGTAGAGATAGATCAGCACCAGTGTAAAACAATTCCTTGGGTCAAGTGGCTGAGAAGCCAGAGCCATCAGCATTCCTGTAGTCAGAGCACCTGGGCTCCCATGGGCATCTGGTCGATGAGGTTGAAGGACCCACGTCTGCAGGGCCAGCCCCGGTTCTGCAGTGTTCCTTGCTGGTAAGGTTGCAGTGAGGACTGCGTGAGAAACGACTAGAAACCACCACACATGTGGGGGCCCTGAGGAATGGCAGGTGTCATTGAGATATGTTGCATTTCTGTGCTGCTTTGTCCTGTGGACAGTGCATTCAGGGATTTTATTCCAAAGCTAAGGTCCTCCTCAGCCACCCTCCTCCTCCCTGCTGAGATGGATTGTCCTGGGGTCTCAGCTTTCTCCTCCCACACCCAAACCCCACGGACTATGGACCTTGGCTTCATACATGTGGGTCTGGGAGTCTCAGCTCTGCTTCATACAGTGACTTCTCTAAACCCCTTTCCCCACAAATACCTCATAGGATGGGTTGCCGAAGGAGCAAATGCTGAATGCTTAGCACCGGCCTGACTTTCCCAGGCTGGTCACGCCCTTTCTGGTCCTCAGTGTCCCCGTGTGGAAGTGGCTCTTGCCTACTACCCACACTTGGTTTGCAGCCAGAGCAGAAGCAGACCCCGATTTCTTTTTTTTTTTTTCTTTAAGATTTTATTTATTTATTTGAGAGAGAGAGAATGCATGAGCAGGGTGAGGGGCAGAAGAAGAAGCAGGCTGTCCACTGAGCCAGACTCTGGGATCATGACCTAAGCCAAAGGCAGACATTTAACCGACTGAGCCACCCAGGTGCCCCATGTCCCTGATTTCTTGTCTGGGGACCATGGTGCCTGCTGGCTGCAGATGTCCATTGGGAGACTGGCATGGCCTCAGGGCTGTCGGGGATGGGGTGAGCCTAGGTTATTGCTGATGCCCATGGTCCCTCTGAGGACTCCCTTGTGTGCCAGAGCTGCCTTGGTATGGGGGAGGGGGCTGAGGGTTTACTGTTTCCTCTGTGCCTCAGGGAAAAGGAAATAATCAAGAAGAAAAAAGCTGAAGAAAGTGAGAGTACCATTGCTGCCAGAGAGGTCCGGGGCCTCATGGACACCATCGGTGAGCTTCTGTCCAACCACAAGGGCAGGCTCGGCTTTCTCCCCTCCGCCTCCTCCCCTGGGCCTTCTCCTCAATACAGGGGGCTGGGGAGGGGGCGAGGGGGTGAGGGGCTGTGCACACTTGGCATGTCCTGATGAAAATCAGTTGGTAACGGGCTGACTTTACTGCAATTTCACAAGAGGATTTCAATCTACCTTGTCTTCCTTCTTACGATGGAGGAAGGGTCTTTTTCTTCATGATTAAAAAAATAATACGTGCTCACTGTAAGTAATCTCTACACCCAACGTGGGGTTCAGACTTATAACAGACACCCCCTAATAGATGCTTACGGTAGAAAAACAAAGGAAGGAGATAAGCAGAAAGTAAAAACTCTCCCTTCGCAATAGCACTGCCTCCTCCCGAGACTGCCCCCCGCCCCGTGAAACCACATGGGGAGTCCAGTGTCTAGGTTCCCCCATAGACTCAGGGGACAGCCTAGCACGGGGCAGGCACACAGAGCTCAGAGCACACGGTCCTCAGCCAAACCCCCGCTCAGCCACTGCCCGTGTTTGTTCTTTACCGCCCATGCCTGACCTTCCTCACTTTTTACGTAAATGGGACTAATAAATACGACTGCCTCTTGGCGTCTTCAGGAGTGGTAGTTGAGTTAGAACAATGCCTGGAAGGTGGTAAGTGCTATGTAAGTGTGGGTTACTCTTACTAGTGTACATATGTGCTTCTATAAAACTTTTTAACAAACATAACTGGTCCCGTTCTATATGTCCCATTTGGAAACTTTTTCTGGCATTTAACTGTGGATGAAAACTTCAGTCCTTAACAGCACTTAGGCATCACCTTTGTCTTTTCTGTTTTTCCTTAAGCCTCTGACCCTGTGGTTTGGTTTGGGGGTCCATCTCCTGAACCGAGGCACTTTCTGCCTTGCTGACTTCTCTTGGGCGCTCTCCCCACGCTTTGAAGCTCTGAGGGCCGCCTCCTCACCTCTGTTGTTCTCCCCCAGTTCCCGAGAGGCCCTGCACCCCCACCCTGGGCACCAAGGGAATGGACTCCCAGAGGCGGGACTATGAGAGTGCTCTGGGGAACTTTAAGAAGGAGATCGCCCAGATTGGGATGGTGAGAGTCCTCCCCCCTCCCCCCCACCCCACTCCCAGCTCAGGGGTCCTGAGTGGCTCTCCAGTAGTGTAGATGGAATCAGAATAGCCATGTCTGAGTGGCTGATGGTGAGTGCTCAGCACACGCACAGCTAAGTCGGGTGCCGTTGTTTCTCCTAGTCTACAGGTGAGGCCCAGAACGTCTTGGCTGACTTGGCACGTAAGGGGCCAGGTGGGAACTGGACTCCAGAGCTGAGGCCAAAGCCCAGCCCTTGAGCTCCCTGCTCAGTCCTGCTAGGGGCGGGGAGGGGGGGGGGCCCGGGGGCTGCTGGTCTTCCCACCCCCTGTCCGCTGTCACTTCACTCATCTGTCCCAGCTGTCTGCGAGCTCTACTTTCGCCTGTGGCTCTGTGGCTTTGGTCATACAGCACAACTGAGCCTGTTTCCTCATTAGAAGTAAACTCGGGATTCTTGCACTGGGCACTTCTTTAATGACTATTTGTCGACTCCCAGCCATGGGCCAGGCCTGATGTCAGCACCTACTCCAGGGGCTGTGATGAGGAGCATGAGAGTCTGAGGACGAGGACAAGGGCTCAGCCCAGAGTGGAGCCCGTGGCACAAGGCCCGTGACCGAATAAATGGCGCTGGCCCTTGTGCTCTGGCTGTGAACGGATTCGTAAATCCTAGCCCCTTAGGTCTAGAGAATGATTATCAGTTTTGAGGCAGGACCACAGTTGGCACTTCCCCAGCACAGGCCCCAGGGGTGTGGGGGCGGAGGAGGGCCGGGCTCTCTGGTGGCATTGACCCCACAGCTGTGGTGGCCCTACTGGCTTGTTTTAGGAAATGGAACCTTTCATTTTGGAGCCAGGAATGCTTCTTATGAAAAAGCTGGCCGAGTCGGCTGAAGACATCAACCAACTCTTCAAGAAGGTGGAAAGCAACACCGACCTCAAATACTACACCATCGAAGTAGGGAGGGGTTCCCCTGTGGCCAGGCCCGCCCTACCCAGGTCCTGCTCCCTCCCTCCCAGCCTCTCTGTCCTCCCAGCCTGACCCAGGCTTCTCGGCCTAGACCCTGCTGGAGCTGTGGGATCAGGTGGCTGAGAAGTTCCAGTTCCAGAAGCAGGGGATCAAGGAGCTGGATGAGGCCCTGTATAAGGCCGAGTTCTCTCGGGCAGATAAAGTGAGTTGGCCTGCATGTGGGCTCGTGGTGATTTCTACCTGTGGGATTTATGAGGCCTCGTCTGTGTCCTTTTAGGGCTCCAAGAGAAGACAGTTGCTAACAATGGCACCTTTTTGTTTCTAGCTCAAAAGCGTGCTGAAGAAGTATGCGGAAATCATAGAGAAGACTTCCTACCTCATGCAACCTGACGTGTACAGGCTGATAAACAAGGAGGCCATGGTGAGTGGTCTGCACGTGTAGGGGTCGGCCCAGAGGTGGAGCAGGACCTGAGGATGCCCCAAGCCCGGTGTCTCAGGAACAGGGGTTTTCTCGTAGGTCACATTTCCAGGTAACTTGGGTTCAGAACAAGGGTTTTGGCTAAGTATTTTCAGTAGAAATCTTTCTAAAGTACATGGCACCCATCCCTACTGTCTGAATCCCAGTGACCTAGCACAGGGTCACTGGTTTGAGCACTGATGGTTTTCTGAGCAGGTCTGGGCCCAGTCTTAGCTTCCCTTGTGCAGTGTCGTGGGTGCTAGATGATGAGCAGTCCTGCTCTCTGGGTGGTCTGTGCCCTCCTAAGTGACCCCAGCCTGCTCTGTTTTTCTGGTGGTTCTTGTCTGCCTTCCTGCTGGCTCTCAGTGCCTGTTGTTAAACCATGCCAGTCTCCTAGCTCTGTCCGCATCCCACCCTTGTCCAGCTGCTTTCTTTGGGTGTAGAAAACAAGAAATTCAAGGTTGTTCATAATGCCTCCAAAGTCAGAGTTAAGCCTGACTCCTTCGCCATGTGAAAGGACACTTGTGTATGTACATATGTATTTTCTTCCAGTATAAGTAACATTGCAGTGCTCTGGGAGTCTCAGGTGTATGGTACAGTGACCCAACACACCCGTACATTACTCAGTGCTCCTCATGACAAGCGTGCTCTTGATACCCTTCACCTGTTTCACCCATTCCCCCCCGCCACCTCCCCTTCGGTGACCACCAGTTCTCTATATGGGGTCTGGGTTTTTTTTTTGTCTTTTTGTTTGTTTGTTTTGTTTCTTCAGTTTGACACGAGTCAAATCCTATATTTGTCTTTCTCTGTCTGACTTATTCCACTTAGCACTGCACGCTCTGTGTCCATGCATGTTGTTGCTTCCTCTGGCTACTCAGGGGCACGTTTTGCCTGCACGGGCTTCTAGGCCCTGTGCAGAAAGTGGGGCCTCCCAGCAGTGTGTGGGAGTCCCGGACGAACCACAGACGTGGAGCAGGCACAGACCTCCCTCTCCGCCACCCAGACACGCAAGCTCCCAACATCACTCTGCTCCAGCACCTGGAACTCCCTGTCCATAAAATGGGGGTCATGATCCTTAAATACCAATGCTTGTTGGGGGGAGGAGGGGTAAAAGATGGCTCAGCAGTGGCCCCGGTCATTTGAAATAAGCAAGAGTCCCTAACTTTTATCCATTTGATCTGTCGTGGGGTGAGGGGGAGTCAGAGTTAGCAGCGTCCCGGGGATGTTTCATTGTTTGACTTCCACACGCTTACTTGACTCATTAGGACAGCTGCACTTGCTCCTGACTCCATGTGCATTTATCTCATGTAATTTCACAAAATCCCTATGCTGCCAATAGCATTAGCTTCAGATTATGGCTGCAGAATTGGAGGTTGAGGAAAAACCTGCCAGTGCTCCCCAGCTAGGAAGTCTAGCTGGCAACAAACCTCAGGTTCTGGTGAAAATTATTACTAGAATTTCTACCCATTGAGTTCGGCAGGTTTCCACCCTTGCCCCAGGGAGGCGCCTCCCATGAGGGCTTTGGGCAGCTGTGGAGACACTTGGCTGTCACACCCCACGGGGGCATGGGGGAGACTGCTCTCATAAAGGGGGCAGGCTACTAAGTAGCAGAACAGCGCCACACAATGAAGAATTGTCTCCGCTGCCTTACCAAGAATGCCCAGGGGAGGTTCACTGGGAGGACTGAGGATGAATGTTCTAGATCTGGCCTCATTTGGTAATTGAGTCTTCATTCTCATTATAACCATATGTGACTGATCCCTGTTGGCATGAGCACTCTGCTTTTGGAACAAATCTATTAAAAACAAAACAAAACAATTAAACACTAAGAGCCCATGAGAGTGCTTATCTCCGGTGACCTAAAATCAGCTTCTTCAACAATCTGATATGGTCTTGGGGTTGGGTTGAGGGTACATAGTTAAGTCAGGGTTCATAGGTAAGCCTTCGGGAAAGGCCCCTGTCCCTGTCCATGGCCGCTCAGCCCCAGGCAACTTTGTTGAGTGCCCAGTGACCCCTCAGTGCCCTTCAGATGCTGTCACTGTCCTCCTTGGCCTTGCTGGGCCCCAGGCCCTCTGCCTGCCGCTCACCTGGCTCCTCTTCCCATCATCCCTCTCCAACTGAGCCTTGTTCTGAGCCTGGAGAGCCCCCGCCTCGTGCAGAGCCTGCCTGCCTATATCACAGGTTATAAACCAAGCCCTCCTGGGCAACCGGAGGGCCATCGCCCAGCTGTTCATCAACCTCACGGAGGCCACGCTGCAGCAGGAGCTCCACAGCCACCGCCACTGGCAGAACCTGGTGGACGCCTGGAAGGATCTCAAGAAGCAGGCTCTGGTGCAGAGTTTCAGGTCCGTGGCTGCCCACCCTGCCTGTAGCCCCTCCATAGCCTCCCTGGGAGGCCGGCACAGTAGGCCTGTGGCCCTCGCCCTCCCTTTTCTGTCGGGACTCCAGAGGCCTGCTGTTCTTCTGGGGTGGAAAATAGGTGCTTCTTTTCTTTTCAAGTCTCAGTAGATCAAAGTAGAAAGAAGAAATTAAAAATCACCACTAATTTCAGCACGGGGAGAAGCACAGCTGATATTTTGGTATATTTCCTCCCAAGCTTTTTTAGACCCACACTGCATATGTCGCTTATGTATCTTAATTTCCTCCATAAACATGATCACATAAGCATTTTCGGAGCCTGGTACAAATTGTTTGAAAACATCCGTCTGATTATCTGCCCAATTTCCACACTACTGCTACATATAACCCTGTTACTGGATTAGGGAGAATGAGGGTTCCTCAGGCTTTGGTACTTCCTGCCCTCTGGTATCAAGTTTCACCTCAGGGAGGGAGGGAGAGGGCCCATCTCCATGCTTCTGCCGCCAGGTGGCCCTTTTGTTAATAGGGACACAAGGATCCTGAGGCTTCTGGCCAACAAGCAAGGCTTTTTTTTGCTTGTTGGGCCAAGACGTCTGAGGATGCCAAAGGATGTCTGTCTGTCCGTCTGCATGGTGCATCTACAGCTGGGAGGCCCATCTGTACACCTGAATTTCCCTTTGGAGAACACCAGAATCTGACACCAGGGAGGAGTACTGAGACCTGGATCCATCTGTACTTTCCCTGTGACCTTGATCAAGCACTTGAACGTCTCAGAGCCTCTGTCTCCTTATGCAAAGCAGACCCGATGATGGGCCAGTGTTAGGGTTTCAGTAATGATCAAGATGCTATATGGAAAGTGAGTTGTCTGGGCCTGGGCCTGGAGATTGTTACAGATGTCAGTAATCATCAACAGTGATGACAGGAGCTAACATTTATGGGGCATTTCCCCTGAGCCAGGCATGGTCTGAGGGGCTTTGCTTGCATTATCTTACTGGGTCCTTGTAAGTGTCAGGCAAGGAAGGTACTCTTTATAAGGTCTATTACAGAAAAGGAAACAGATTCAGAGGAGGGGAGGGACTTGCCCAAGGTCACAGAGCTGGCAGGCAGCAGTCAGAACCCACACCTAGATCTGTGCCTGCTGGTCACATGCTCTTAGTGCCGGAACCTCCCTGGTGGCCCTCTAGTTCTTCTCTCTCGCCTTCCACCCTCCCTCCTTTCATCATTGTCCCAGAGGCCCTCAGTGGGGAGGAAGCAGCTGGAGGGTGTAAGGGTACTTAGATTCAGAATGTTCTCACCACGGGTCTCATCCCCTCTCTCCCTTCTGCCCTGCCCCTCCTCTCCTCTCCGTGGTACCAATGCATCTGGATCCCCAGTGAGTTCATGGCCAGTGAGAGGATCCAGGCTCCTCCAGGTGTGAGGAAGGAGATGGAGAGCATGCTGAAGGACCAGAAAGCCCTGCAGCAGAAGCGGCTGGAGCATCTCTGCACCATCTGGTATGCTGCGGGGGGTGGGGTGGGGCTCCAGTGAGGGGTGCTGTGGGGGAGGCAGGCACAGTCCTCTGCATTGACCATTCTCCTGGAGCATCCCCCAAGCCAGGCCAATTCTTTCTTCCCTAGTCCTGTGCTGGCCGCCTGGGCCCACGTTCTGGGGGCATTCCAGCCACAGAGGCAACAAAGAACAGGATGTATTTGCTGAGGAGACAAGTTTAGTGTGACTGTGCCAAAAAACTTGGAAGGAGGCAGTGGTGGGGGGGTGGGCAGGCTAAGTGGGTGGGGAGGGAGCAGGTTCAGGGGCTGGACTTTCTCCTGAGAGCTGGTGGGGAGCATATGGCTCCAGCAGCCTCACAGTTTGGAGGGTGAGTGGGAGCGTCCGAGGCTGGAGCCTGAGGTCCTTGAAGAGGCTGCTGCCACCAGACGAGGAACCTGTCAGAGGCCGGGGCTGCGCCCCTCAGCCCTGGGCTCACCCAGCTCTGACCCCATAATAAGCTGGTGAGGCACACAGTGAATGTGCTAGACCCTGGAAGCCCGCTGCCCCGGGATCCTGTAGCATCCCGTCTCAGCAGCAGGGCGGAGCCTGCGTGGTCCAGACAGTGGAGACACTTCACCTTGCTGGGAGACGCTCCTCCTCTTCCTGTGTGCCTTGGTCCCTCCCACCCCTGCGAGGGAGCCCTGCTTATCTCCCCACCACGGAGCTGAAGTTCTCCTCAAGTTCTCCTCGGGTGTCAGTGACAATTAGAACCCCACCCAGTCTTCCCAGGCCGGCACTTTTCCATGCTGGTGCAAAATTAACAAGGTGGATAAAAATCTCCACAGAAGATAAAGCGCTTTTCTTGTTTTCTGTAACTCTACTTTTTCTGACTGAGTCCCTGTTTATGAAACCGGGCCAAACTCAGGTCTTTCTTGGGGTTGTAGCCGTTGAGGTGAAGCCATGATTCCCCACGGGAAGCCACATGAAGGGGTCTGTTCCTCTGTGTTTGAGCCACCCAGTTGCCCCGGGGCAGCTGCCCTCACCTCTAGACAGCTGGCTGCAGGAATCTTGAGGCTACTCTGCGCCCCTGTGGCCTCACACCCAGGGAGCTGTTTTTCTCCTGGTACCTGGGTCTTACAGCTGCTCCCCAGCCTTCCACCAGGAAGGAGGACCCAGGCTGCCCCTGCCAGGCAGCCGTCCTCTCTGCCCTCCCCTGTCCCCAGCCCCCCTTCTGTTGGGTGAGGAGAGAGCTCCGGGTCCTCAGGTCTCAGCTGCCAGCCCAGCTCCCCTCCCCTGGGCTCTCAGCCCTCTCCCACCAAGGTTTCCCCTCCCCAGTGCTCTAGGCTCCCCAGAAAACTTAGATTTTGAGACAAGATCCAGAAAGATTTCTAGGCTGCTGTCTTTTCTACCCTGCCATATCCCGCACATAGGCTGTGAACACATAGGCTGGCTACCTGCCTGAGTGAAGGGAGAGACAGGGCCAAAGACAGGCAGGAAAAGGCATTTCCTGGTGCTTCTGGCCCCTACTGGGAAGGTAGGGTGCCTTCTCGTCAAGCTCAAGGAGCTGTCTCAAGGAGCTACCTCATATGGGATTCCATACCCCATCCTCCCATAGCTCCAGGCCTTACTCCTGAAACCCCAGAGGCCTGGACTTTATTTCTCTGCTCATGCAGAGGCCCTCTGTAGGCTTGTGGGCACTGGTGTTGCAGGGCTGGGGGGGTCTTGATAAGATTCCCAGGGCTCCCAAGAGAGAGTTTTCCAAAATCCTAGGAGTATTTCCATGGATTTTCCTGGATCTGATAAGCATATGTGCATATAATTTTAAAATATTTTTTAATTCAATTTTTATTTTGGAGTGATGTTAGACTTACAGAAAACTTAAAAAGATAGTGCATAGAATTCCTGTAGACCCCTTACCCAGTTTCCTCTACTATCATTATCTTAAATACAAAACTAGGAAATAAACTCACGCATTCCCATTAACTAGGCACCAGATGTTTTCAGATTTCACCAGTTTTCTGCCACTGTCCTTTTTCTGTCCCAGGATCCAAGCCAGGACAAAGTACTGCTCTTAGTATAACGTTTAGACTTGAGATTATGCTGTGCAAGTCTCGGACTTATCTTTTGCTCTTTACCATCCCACCATAAGTAGGGTGCCCAAGGCCATCCTGGGTTACACATCTTGTCCTGGTATAATCATTAATAGACTCCCTCTCTTCATCATCAAAGATGTCCTGGTTTGGGACAATACGTTATATGGTCCTCATTGTATGCATCTTTCCATACCATTAAACACCACCCCAAATTTAGTGGTTTAAAACAACAAGCTGTTTCTCACCATTCTGTGGGTCATTTCCCACAGGATGTTTCCCTGGTCTGGGCTGGCCAGGCTGAGGCTAGATGGTCAAGAATGGCCTCACTCCCGTGTCTGGAGCCTGGACTGGAACAGCTGAGGCTTCTCTGGTAGAAGAGGCAGAGATACCTGCAACAGGAGAGAGAAAGGGAAGAACACAAGCTTTTCCACCTCCAGCTCTCATTTGCTAATGCCTCATTGGCTAAAGCAAATCACGTGGCCTGGCCCAGCGCAGGGGTGGAGAAATAGACGGAGGGGAACAGCTAAGGATATTGGCCCGTTTTTCAATCTGCCACATGATCTTCAGTGACTTCAGAAGAGAATGCACTGTGCTTTATTTAGACAGAATCCAGTTGTTGGATATGAAGTTTGTTTATGATTTTTTGAGTGCTTATAAACACTACTGTTAAGTGTGTCTTAATGCATAAACTTTGTATGCATTTATACTGTTATCTCGAATTCGGTTCCTAGAAGTAGGCAAGTAGGCTTCCTTTGTCCAGTCATGTAAGCCATTTGTTTTTTTTCCATTAAGGAAATTTTGTTTTTTTTTTTCCCCCTCCTTTTTTTTTTTTTTTTTTTTTTTGGGGGGGGGTGGGGGGAGAGTGAGAGTGCACATGCACATGAGGTGGGGAGTAGGTGGGGAGAGGGAGAGAGAGAATATTAAGCAGACTCCACACTAGCCGCATCTCACGACCCCGAGATCATGACCTGAGGTGAAATAAGGAGTTAGGCACTTACCCAACTGAGCCACTCGGATGTCCTTGGCTTTATTTTCTAAGTAACAGACTTGGTAATATTAGTAGACCTCTTATGAGTTATATTTTTGGTACCAGGAAGTCCCCAACAAGTCAACTATTTCTTTGATATTTATATAGATACCACATAATACTGGGGCCACGTGCCTGAAGATGCTACCAGTTCTGGTAAGTGAACGTTCTATACAAGCATGGCTTACTTGTCCTATATTCCTTCCCCAGTGACCTTCTACCCCCCAGTTACAGCAAAGCTCAGCTGACTGAATGGCATTCTTCTCTCAACTCCCTCAATAAGCACCTTGGTGAGTGAGGTCTGTGGGATGCCACCTGGGTCTCTTCAGAACTTGTTCAAGTAGTAGCCAGTCATTTATGTGAGAGCCTGTCATAAACTCAGAAGTGGGGCACATCCCCCTAGAGGAGGGAGGGTATGCAGATGCAAGCATGAGCTCTGAGGGTTCACATAAAATCTCCCAAACCTTGCATGGTAGAGCACCTTTCCTCCCTCCCACAGCTTCCTGGTCTCTTCCCCGTTGGCAGCCATGCCATCCACACACTCTGATCCCTTAACCAGCAGGAAGCCAGAGGGATGGCTCTGATGACCTTCTGTGAGGACAGCTTGGGGGCCAGGCCCTGGGCATAGGGGATACCAAGCATGTGGTCTTGTAGTCAGAGAGACTTGGGTTTGACCCCCAGCTCTGTGCTGTTCCAGCTGTGTGACCTTGGGGAAGGTGCAGCCTCTCTTGGCCTCGAACTGCTCCTCTGTAAAATAGGGATCTCAAGAGGAACAATAAAGGTACCTACCTTGTGGGGTTGTTGTGGGAATCACATCCTACAGTCCGGTCGTCCATAGTTCAATGCCTGGCTTACAAGAGAGCTTCAGTAATAAATGGTAATGTTTAGAAATGCTCTATATCAAGGGTCCTCAAACTCCCACCCACGGGCCCCTGCTTGTTTGCAAGTAAGTTTCGTTGAAACACAGCCCTGCCCGTTTGTTCCCATATTGTCTCTGGCTGCCTCTGCTCTACAGCAGCAGAAACGAATAGTTGCAGGGCACCTGGGAGGCTCAGATGGTTAAGTGTCTGCTTTCGGCTCGGGTCATGATCCCTGAGTCCTGGGATCTGCCCCTTCCCTGCTTGTGCTCTAGTTCTCTCTCTCAAATAAATAAGTTCTTTTTTTTTTTTTAAGATTTTATTTATTTATTTGACAGAGAGAGATCACAAGTAGGCAGAGAGACAGGCAGAGAGAGAGGGGGAAGCAGGTTCCCTGCTGAGCAGAGAGCCCAATGTGGGGCCCGATCCCAGGACCCCGGGATCATGACCTGAGCCGAAAGCAGAGGCTTTAACCCACTGAGCCACCCAGGCGCCTCTCAAATAAATAAGTTCTTAAAAAAAAAAAAAAGAGTAGCTTCAACAGAGACTCTATGTCTGGCAAAGCTGGCAGTATCTACTATCTAGCCGTTCATAGAAAATGTTTGCCAAGCCTTGCTCTGGAAGACATAGGATATTTCCATCTCCTTTGAGGCTTACAGCACCCTGGTAAGGTCGGTAGTGTCATTGTCCCCCTGTGATAAAGAAGAACTCAGAGGCATAGAGAGGTGAGGTATCCTGCCCGTGGTCACACAGCTAATGAAGTCACGCTTGAACTTGACCTGGATACTTCAGTTAAGAGTACCCACCGTTGCTCCCAGGGCTCTCAGGTTTAGAATTGCAAAGGTATTATAATACCAAGGTAAGAGCCCCAAGACCCTCAATAATAGCAGTGACTGCCATTTAGCAGGCACCTGCTAGGGACGGGAGTGGGCCCGGGCCTCGGTACACAGCAGGGTGGCTCCTTGGGTGTTTCCCATCCAGGGTGGGGGTCAGGCCATGCAGGGTGTTACAGCGGGGAGCAGGCAGGTGACCAGCAGGTTTCTGGGGACGCAGCTCCTTTATGGGTCATAGGAGACCTTGCGGGGGAAGTGTTCTTCCAGTCAAGAAGAGCAAGGCAAGAGTTAGCCAAACCCAGGGCTGAGAGGAGATTTTCTAGCAGGAAGAATAGCATGTGAGAAGGCTCACGGGCAAGACAGAGCTGAGGCCTTTGGGGAAAGAAGAACATCGCAGGAGAGGCTGGAAGGTGCCCGGGGCCCAGACCGTGCCAGCCTCGTCACCATGTCGGGGGAGGCTGAGCTTTCTGTGGTTGGAGCAGGAACCCAGGGCAAAGTTCTGAGCTGGGAGTGATGAGGTCAGAGTGGGAAGAGGTCAGAAGGGTACAGGAGTGGAAGCACAGATCACTGTGACTTCAGGGGATGGGTGGGGACGTGCTCGCCAAGGGAGATGCCCTGGGGCTGGAGAAACCAGCTTTAGAGCTTCTCCTTGTCGGTTCTACTACATACCTGTCCTCCCCTGTCCTGTGTCCGCCATCTACCCAGCTTCCATCCACCCTGTCCTCCTCCTCAGCCCTCATCCAAAAAAAAAAAAAAAAAAAAAAAAAAAAACCCACTTCAGAATCTTTGTGCTTTCAGTTTCTAGAACTTCCACGAACATTAAACCTCAACTGCTTGTCTTAGACACCAAGAGTCACACAATGAGTTTATTGGAAAGTGGGAAACAGTAGTCGGGGAGGAGAGAAAAATCAGTCACCTTCTGAGTGTTCCGCCAAACCTTTCACTTCTTAGGGAATTAACCACAGACGTGATCCGTAAACTCTCGTTAATTTGCACCCTTGGTATTGTTTTATGATTTGGTGCAACCCTCTGAAAAGAATTTCATTAGCCTTGACATGGAGTCAAGAATCAGGGTCAGAATAGATTCGGAACAGATAAAGGCAACTCCTCGTTCCAGGCCCTTCTCTTGGGGTGTCACAGACTTTGTGAGGAAGGGGATCCCAGCCCCTGCTCCGAATCGAGACCACAGATCTCACCTCAATTATCTTCGCTAAGGGGAGAAGTTACCTCCCTTGCAGAGGGTAAACTCTTTCTAATGTTCCCTCTTCCTCCTGGAAGAGCAGCTGACATGTTTTCTTTCTGCCCACGGAGACACCTGCCACATAGACAGCATGATGCGGATCCGCCTGCAGTACGAGAAGACGTGGCAGGAGTGCCTGGCCCAGGTGCAAACGTGCAAGGTGGGGGCCCCTCCCGCCCCACCCCTGCCCTCCTCCAGCCTGGATTCCCCTCCACCCCCTCTGCCCGGACCCCTCCTCCCCAGCTTTTCCCACCTGTCACTCAGGGTGGAGCCCAGCCTGACCTCCTCCAGGAAAACGTCCCAGCCCCATGGGGGCGGTGATACACTCTGACCACGTCAGCCTTCAGCCTTGACCATCTGTACCCCTTACAGCACTTGACATTGATCCAGGGCAGGTCGGACCAGGGGGTTATTTCCAGGGCTTCGCTTCCGTAAGTGAGTGCAGCCACTGCTGTCACACCCAGCCCTTCTGTCCACCCTGCTGGCCCCTGTCAGAGGGTGAGACCATGGGTCCCTCACAGACTACTTCCATGACAGTGCCTGCTTTTTTGGGGTACAGGAAGATAATTTGGGCAGAATGCCCCCTCCTGCCTCCTGGCTCCGACAAGTTCCTGCTCCTCCTCCCGTCATGAGTCTGTACAGCTTTTGTTCTGCCCCTGAGACTCTGGGGTGAGCAGAATTCACGGGGAGCAGAGTACTTCATGGTATCAGGCAGGGTCCAGTGCTCTGTGGCCTTAGGGCCAGCCATGTGCCTCTCAGTCAGGTTTTTCAGGGTATCAAGCCTCAGAAGTAAAGCATGGAGGGAGAGAAGGGTGGAAACCTTTGCTCCTAGACCCTAGGAGAGCCTTCCCAGCACCATGCCCCTGAGGGTTTCCTCCCTTCATCCCTGCTGCTGCCTGAGACCTCCCGAGGAGCTCAGGGGCCCTCAGTGCTGACTCTTGTGCCCATCCTACTTCTCTTTGTCAGGCGCAGCAGGGGCTAAGTTGAAGTCAGCACACACCCCAGGAGTGTCTTAGGCTGGACAGGAAGGGCCCTTGGTATTCCTATTCAGCAGCATTGAAAGCATACAACTATAGACAATTTTTATTTGGGGATATTGGTTTATATTAGATTTTGTACATAAACCAAGGCTTTATTAATATGAAGAAGACTGCTTTCCAGCTGGCATAATAGGAATTCAGTTACAGGAAGTAGGAGCCCGTCTGAGTTGCAGCCACACTGAGGCCGTTAGCATGGCTGATTATGTCTCTGGGGTCTGCAGGACGACAGTTCTGAGTTCAGGTCCCAGCCCCCCACTTGCCAGATGTGTGGCCTCTAGCAAGTTCCTCCGCTTCTCTGAGCCTTGGTTTCCTCATCTGTCAAGTGGGGCTAAGTGAGAGAACAGGGATAGTGCACAGCGCCTGTACTCTGTGGGCCGACCGTAAAGATGGACCATCCCTACCGCTGGGAGGGTTTCCCCTGAGGCTGGGTGAGAGGCAGACCTCAGGGGGCAGGGCCAGGCCCTGAGGTGAAGCCCTCCCCCGTCCTAAGCCAGACTCTGCCCTGGTTCCCCTCCAGAAGCAGCTGCTGGACTGCAAAGCCTTCACTGAGGAGGAGGCAGAGAGCCTGGTGAGCCCATACTTCTTCCAGATGGTGGGCGAGCTGCAGAGCAAGGTGGAGGAGGAGCTGGAGCTCTTGGATGTGCGTAGCTGGGGACCTGCACAGCTGGAGAGTGGGGTGGGTGGTTGGGGGGAGCGGTCACCTGGAGTGCCCTGCTATGAGAAGACCAGAGTCCGGGGGCCCCAAACTTTCTTGTCACCAGTGAGACCATTTCCCCAGTCCTGGCTGCCCCTCTGGGGTAGTTCTCTGCACGGGGTGCTCTGGGCTCCCCCGTGACCCGCCCCCCCCCCCCCCCCCCGCCGGCCCTGCTGCCCAGTGACAGCCGCGCTGCCCAGGGCTGGGGTAGCGAGAGTTCCTCTGAGCCCTTGTCGAGTCTGCGTGCCCAAGGGCCACGAGGAGCAACAAGCCCCTGCCCCAAGATGCTTAGGATCAGGACCTGGGTGGGGAAACATTTTCTGCTAAGCGCTGGATAGTAAATATTTCAGTTCCCTGGAGACTGTCAAGTCTCTGTAACAACTTCTCACTCCGTTCTTGTTACACAAAAGACAATTTTATTTGTGAACACTGAAATTTGAATTTCATATAATTTCCACATCATTCGGTATCTTTGTCTGATTTTTTTTGTTCAGCCATTAAAAAATGTAAAATTAGCTTAGCTCTCAGGGCCACATACAAAAAAGGCAGAGGGCCAAATTTAGTTCTTAGACCAAGTTTGCTGCCCCCGGACCCCAATGAGAGCATAAAATACAACCACAAAATGGGGAGAGGTGAGGATTTAACAGCCGAGAATGGTGTTTGGCTCAGATGCTAAGAATCAGGGAACTCCAAAGAAGGAAACCTGCCCAGGCTGAGATGGGCGTGGCCTGCCTGAGTACCCAGGCTGGCGTCTGGGGCGGCTCCTGCTTTCTTCCAGGCCCCAAACCTCCCCTTCTTCCCACTAGTGACTTCAGTGCATAGGGGACAGGTCTAGAGATGGGACTTCAGGCTCAGCCAGAATGAGGGCATGGCTTTGGGCAGACCAGAAGCTGTTCCAGAGGAGGGAGAGCCATGAACCAGTGTGTGACAGGAAGATGACCCCAAGGGATGGTGCCCAGGCAGTGATGGCGAGGCCGGTCGTTGGAGAGGTGGGGCCTCCACTGGCTGGCGAGGGAGCCCTGTGAGGGGGTGGCCTTCTTCTCACCCCGGGCCCGTTGGTCTTCAAGCTCCCTTCTCTGGGTTCTGCCACTGCAGATATCCTTCGAGGGCCTGGCAAAGCAGACAGAATGGCAGAGCTCAGATCTCTTCAGCTACTTCCAGGAGGCGGTGCAGCTGTGGGAGGCACATCAGAGCGCACTGTCGGTGCTGGCTCTGGAGCTGGAGAAGAGGATGGAGCAGCTGAGGCAGAAGCGCAGCCTGGACGAGAAGGTGTGGTCTCTCGCCCCCCAGAAGCTCCTGTGGGGATGGAAGGGAGGGCCACACCCAGACAGTCAGTTGCCCGATGGCTCTGCTGGGCGGCTGTAACCTCAGCTGGCATTCATATTACAAAAACAAAAACAAAAATAAAACAACCCACCATATTTATCATAGAGTAAATAAAAGTTAACCCCAAACTTATCTTAGATTCAAATGTAAAACCTCAAGCTGTAAGACTTACACAGATGGAGAAATCAAGGCTCACTTTGGTCATGGGCTAAATGGGAGTAGAAGAAATCCACCTGTTAGGTCTGGGCTAGTGATGGGTCCCTGGACCCAAATGTGTCTGTAAGAGAGTGTGCATGAGAGACAGACTGGGGTGGGGTGCGGAGCTTCTACCTATGGCAGTCACCCCGTGCCCACAGGAGATGAGCTGGGCCCCCAACCCCCTTGCCTTCACACAATCTAGGAAATGGAGGGACACACCCAGCATCTGATTTTAAATACAATTGGTTCAAAGAGAGCAAGGGGCAGGCACCATGGGGGGGTGTGGGGGGTGGCCTGCCGAGGCAGTGTGGGTATAGGGACGTGTCCCTGAGGAGTCCCATCTGAGTTGGGTCTCCAGGGATGTAAAGTAGACAGAGAAGAACATTATCGACAGAAGAGCCCAGAGCATTGAGTGTAAGTGAGGTAGCACATTTGGTGCCCCCTTTTCTAGGAAAAAGCCCTGTGTTTGCCCTGAGGCACTTGCCCCTTGGTTCTGGTGGTAGGGTCTCTGCATGTCACTCATAGGCACTCGGTGAGTTTTGAGTTTTGGTAACTCACATCTGCTTCCTTGTATTTTGGGGGTGGCTGCCAGGCCCTGGAAGCCCGCCTGGATAAGCTCTTGGACCAACTGAGGCAGCAAAGCGACGAGGAAACACTGAAGATTCACCTGGAAAAGGCCAAAGATTTCCTGAAGAATATGAAATCCAGGTAGGCAGACCAGATCCCGAAGACAGAAGGGAATGGCCTGAAATTCATATTTAAGATCAGAGGCCGCCTGCTTAGGAGCCCAGGGTGTGCTCAGCGAGCTCAAGATTAAAATGTTGCCTCTAGCTTTGGAGAATGTCCTAGTGGTCCTTCTGACACAGAAGCTTCCAGGAAGAACTTTCCTCTGAAAAGTTTATGGAAGAAGATTTCAAGGCCATGTAGTTTAAAGGTCAAGAGCATGGGCCCCTCCACTACCTTTTCAGATTTTAAAACACAGATGCTCTTTCTTAAAGACAAAAAAGTTAACCAATACAAACATGTAGAAATTTCCCCCTCATTCCTGCCCACCTCGTCTTTTTCATGGGTGTGTACATTTATTTATGTGGATGTAAACACATATACAGTGTTTTTTTCAATAAAGGTTGACTCAGGCGATGCAAGTAGATCTCTAACTGCAGATAGATGTCCGTTTTCTAATGCCCAGAATTCATCAATATGGGTGCTTCATAATGGTCAAACCATCCCCCAGTTGATTAGCTCTTTAAGATTGGTTCCACTTTCACAATATTAAAAACAGTACTCTGTGAACTGTCTTGTATCTTTGTGCCTTTATACAACCGATTCTATAGGGACCATTCACAGAAATGACACAGCACCGCCAAATGATTGCAGTACTTAGCTTGAGTACTTAGCTTCCGAAGTGTATCTTGAGGCAGGTAAGTCACCTCCTCCCCACCCCCGCCATTCAGCCTCCTCTCCTTATCTGGGAGACGCATAAAGCCTGATCCCTGGAGCCTAGAGGTTTGATGGGATCATGTAGGTCAAGTTCAAGCACAGGGTTAGGACCGTGGACAGGAAATGGGAACACGTGTTATAACAAACAGAGAACTCTTCCATGTGTGTTTTCCAAATGTTCTACAAAAAGTGTGTATTCCTTGTAGGATCAGAAAAATAGCAAAACAAACCAAGGATTGCCAAAGCGAAAGGAAACTTGGGCATTTCCCAGCGGCCTGGGGTGTGGCTCTGGGTTGGGGTCCCCCCAACTCAGTGGAGCCCCCCCGCCTTAGACCCCCTCCTTCACTCCCCTCCCAGGTATGAGTGTTTCCACAAGCTCCTGACAAAGGAAGCGACGGAGTACCCAGTGATCATAGTGGAAGAACTGAACTCCTACAGCTCCGCCCTCAGCCGACACTTCTACGTTCGGGAGATCTTTCAGCAGGTATGGAGAGTGGTGCAAACACCCAGCCACTCCCGGAGAAGCAAAGGGGAAAGGGTATCTTTTAGCTCTGATCTGCCTTCCCTTCCATACCTTCACGATCCCCTTCTCGGTCAGGACAACAAGCGGTAAGAAGCCGAAGGTGTTTCTGAAAGAGACCTTCTCTTTCTTAGATTAAAAGGGGTTGAAGGGCTCTGAATTCAGGCCTCAGGCTTGTATGGAATTATGAAGAAAAGACGATTTTCTAGGACTCTGAATTTCGTTCATCTTCCCCACCACTGCCACGTAGTGTCCTATAATACAGCTAGGACCTACCCTCTCTCCCCTCAGGAGTCCACCCCCCACCCTTGCCCACCTCCCCCTATCCACCACCCACCCCGCCAGCCTTCCTCAGCCTTATCTGTGGGCAGCCCTCTGTCTCCACACATCCCAGAGCCAGCCAGTCTTCCACTACCAGGGACTAATGTCCCAACCACTCACGTTCCTCGGCCCCTGTCCCTGCTCCTCTCACCAGGCGTGCTTGTATGTTGGTGGCTGGCAAAGAGAGGAGCACAGAATATCCCAGAGTAGGTGTTTCCTGAAGGGCAGGTTACGTCTCACTAACTTTGATGCAGCTTCACTTGCCCTTCACACAGTGTCTTGCACATGATTCGGACACAGTGAATATTCCCTGGTGAATGCATGACTAGCTGGAACGTCCTGGTCTGACCCTCCTAGAGTTTGTCTCCTTCCCACCCAGCCAGCCGTTGTCCTGCATGGCCAGACCGGACACTACTTGCAGTTATCACTAAACCTGGCCGAGGCTTTCTTGCATGCACAGGGTCCCCAGCTACTCTGAGAATCCCTGGAATCCCTGCAGAGAGGAAGGATCTCTGTTTCAGTCAATAGTAAATTCTTCCTCTGGCGCCTAGGTTGAGGGGGAGCTCACCATCTGCACTTTGAGATTGGTCTGCTTGCCTCGGTTCATGTTGAGTATCTATTGTGATCTCCATGGCACAAGGGAAGACCTTGAGCTCTGTCGGGCTTAAGGAGCTTGGCTGAGGTCACTCAGCTTGGAAGGAGCTGGGATTCCAATCTGGACCTGCGAATTCTACAGTCCACAGTGTTATCCATGGGGCAGTATATTCACGACCTCATGTAGAGTCTGTGAAACAGGGAATTTGTAGGGTTAATGAAGGGGCTCCCAGGTCATGTAAATCATGTTCATTCTGTATGTTCACACCCAGCACTGGGAGCTGCAGACCCCTGCCCCTTGGTCTGCATCCCTCGATTTATACTTTCTTGCTCTTTGCCCCAGATCACCACAAAAATGTCAGAATGAGACTTTGTTTACTGATAATGCCTATTGTGGGATAGAAAGATTTGCAAGCCTGCTTGGGATTAAGGAAAACTGATTCTCCGGTTTGGGAACACTGTGATTACCGCAGGAAAATAAGTAGTCAAGGCCACGTCAGATGTTGAAGGGAAGGGGTGGGTGCTTCTCCTTAAATGAGAAGAGATGCCCTTAGAAGTGGCACTCTGGAGAAAGGCAGTGCTGCTCACTCAGTGCCCTGTGGTTTTTCTTTGTAGACTTTGGATGGGGAAGTCATTTTCAAATTCAGGGAACCAGGTAACATTATTCTAATTCAAGTCTGATCCTCTCTGACTTCACTCTTGTACATTTGTGGGCTGGGTGGGCCCAATCCAGGCTACCTTGGTAACCTGTTTTTCCTTGTGCTTTGGGGTTGGTCATCAACAGAAGTGTACGAAAAGCACTTCCAGGAGAGTATGAGAAGCTGGAGAAGCAAACAGAGGGCTCAAGTGGAAATGAGCAGAAGTGAGGAAGGTGAAAGTAGCAGGACAAGTCCCTCCAGTCCAGCAGAAGAGATGGAAGAAGATGATCAAGAAATTGAGTCTTCCTTAACTGAGGAGATGGCAGTGAACCAGCAGGAACCGTCTCTACAGAGTGACAAGATGGATGAGTCCAGTGAGGAGTCAGTTAAAGAATCAGAAAAAGTACAAGTTGAACGAGACAGCTCCTTAAAACCATCTCTGAACCAGGAAGATATGATGGTTCAAGAAGAAGAGATAGAGGAGGAGGAAAAGGAGGAAGAGGGGGAAGACAAGGAAAAGGTGGAGGAGAGGGAGGAGAAGGTGAAGAGGAAGAAGAAAAAGGAGGAGGAGGAGGAAAAGGAGGAGGAAGAGGAGGAGCAAGAAGAGGAAGAGAAGCAGGGGGAGGAGGAGGAAGAACATGAGAGTTTATTTATAGAAGAGGTAGGCCAGCAATGGATCCATTCTTGGGTATGGGGAAAGCGTTCTAGGCTCACTCTGTGTATCCCTATTACCAGCTGGGGTCCCCAGTGGTGCAGTGTCCATTGGGATTTACAAATGTATGCACATCTTTTATTTTGTCAAAAGGAATCCAATTCTTATCTCACAACAGTGCTTTTTAAAATTCACTTTCTTCTCCTAACATCTTATCCTGCAACCTACTCTGAAGTCACCCTTAACTCTATGGCTTTCCTTGTCTTTCCCTGGTCATCTCTTTCCCAACTCTTCTTTCCTGTGTAGACCAACCTTGCCTCTCCATTTCCTCTCTCTTCCCATTCTCTTCTGTAGCAGAAAAGATCCATATCCAAGATGGCAGACAGAGCTCTCCTTGGAGTGTAGGGAAGTTACTCTCACATTAATAAGTCTTGTCCTCAAAACACATTCCAACTCATAGAACAGTAACTTGAATTCCATAATCATTAAATTGCAAGACTCTCTTTCTATACTGCTATAGAAGAATTGGCATAGGAGACTCGTTTTTTTGTGTGTGTTTTTTTTTTTTTAGATTTTTATTTATTTATTTGACAGACAGAGATCACAGGTAGGCAGAGAGGCAGGCAGAGAGAGGAAGGGAAGCAGGCTCCCTGCTGAGCAGAGAGCCCGATGTGGGGCTCGATCCCAGGACCCTGGGATCATGACCTGAGCTGAAGGCAGAGGCTTTAACCCGCTGAGCCACACAGGCGCCCCAGGAGACTCGTTTTTGAGCAGAGATCCCAAATTCAAATTTCCACAGGCATGTAATAGAAAAGTGGTCTAGAGACCAAGTATAAAATAGTAACAAGTGGTGAAGCTGATTGTCTTAGTCTGTTGAGACTGCTATAACAGAATACCATAGACTGGGCAGCTTATAAACAACAGAAATTTATTTCTCACAGTTCTGAAGGCTGGGAAGCCCGAGATCAAGGTGCCAGCAGACTTGATTTGTTGTTAGGTCCCACTTCCTGGTTCGTAGGCAGCCATCTTCTCACTGTGACTTCCTATGGTGGAAAGAGCCAACTCTTTTATAAGGGCACTAATCCCACTCCTGAGGGCTCTGCCCTCCTGACCTAATCACCTCCTAAAAGCCCACCTCCAAATACCAACACACTGGGGATATGAATTTCGGAGAGCACCCAACATTTAGTCTAAGGCAACTGTGCAGTCATTATTCAGCTCCAGCCAATAACACCATGTGGGAATGCAGACAGAATTGCCAGCTTTCCTGATTTTTAAGAGAAATCCAAAATCCAAATTCTTTGTAGGATTTCCTGATTTTTGAAAGCACTATATTGGGGAAAAAAATAATTTCAGGCAAGATTCAGCCCACAGGTGTATAACCTTGATATCAAAGATCCTGTGGCTGGATCCCCAGGTCTGTCTGGTGATGTCAAGTATAAAGTCTTCTCTTCTGCATAGGCCGGAGCCCAGGAAGAGAGTGTGGAGGAAATCTCCCATGATGAGGACATGGAGTCCTTCATAACCTCCAGTGGACACACTTATTTTGTCTTCCTAACCCTGGAACAACAAGAAGAGAGTTGCAAGAAACCCTATTCCAACCTTTCTACCATTCTTGTCAATGACATTTCCAGTGCCAGCTTCCTAGAACAAGTGATCATTCCATCCAGACTAGTTTTACAAATTAAGAAACAGTGAGTAGAAACCCCTTTTATTCTCATTCTCCTATCCTAAGTTTTTTTTTTAACAAAGTGAGGTATTATAACAAAAGATTGGACTAGTTTCAACTGGAAAAAGAAAATGTGTAGGTAACTGAGGGTTGAGATGAGAAACAATTTTAAAAAATAGTAAATTTCCGAGAATTATTTGTAGTCACATGTATCTTCTGTGAGAGTGATCCCCTCCACCTCTCCCAGGATGCCTTGCTAGCCTGGGGCTTGTACATAAGAAATAGTGTTTTCCCTGCAAGATGTTAGAACCCCAGCACATGTGGAATCTTGCTGTCTCCCTTCCTTCTTTCATTCCTTCCCCCTCTCCTCCCTTTTTTTCCTTTTTTTTTAATGATTATGTAGACATAGACTCTAGGCATGAATATGTATCTGTATGGTATTTGGCTCTGATTATATGACATATTAATTACATAAATTAGAAAACTGAAAAAAGTACAATGAAGATTATAAAATAACCCATAATTCTACCACTGAGAATTTACCTCCCCTAACTCCCAGGTTTCTGGGCCTCTGTGTTTGAACTTGGACCCAATGTGGAAATTTGCAGTTGGCTTTAGGATAGCATTTCCATTGCCCTCCTGACTCTAAATGTCATAGCTAGGACTGACCAGCTAGAGATCACCTGATTAGTCTCCCTCCTATGTGTAGACATGGGCAGGGGATAAAAGGAGTTAAGTCAGGCTTTTGGACTCTTCTCTTTCACCTCAGCATCATCTCATCCTGAAAATGTTTTTTTTTTTTTAATTTTTATTTACTTTTTAAATTTCTTTTCAGTGTTCCAGAATTCACTGTTTATGCATCACACCCAGTGCTCCATGCAATACGTGCCCTCCATAATACCTACTGCCAGGCTCACCCAACCTCCCACCCCCGCCCCTCCAAAACCCTCAGATTGTTTTTCAGAGTCCACAGTCTCTCATGGTTCGTCTCCCCCTCCAATTTTCCCTAATTCCCTTCTCCTCTCCACCTCCCCATGTCCTCCGTGTTATTTCTTATGCTCCACAAATAAGCGAAATAGTATGATAATTGACTCTCTCTGCTTGACTTATTTCACTCAGCATAATCTCTTGACTTGAAACTCATCCTTTTTCCTTCCTCTGTCACAGGCCATTGTCTGTCCTCTCCTTAAAGAAGAAAAGCAAGGACCACCACAAGAGCTAATATTTATTGAGAGGATTTAATACTCTCAATAACTATGAGGGGGTACTATAATTAGCTTATGTTACACACAAAGAAACTGAAGCTCAGGGAATTAGTAATTTGGATAAGATCTCGGAGTTAGGGAATGGTTGGATCTAGGATATGAATCTAGACCATGTGATTCCAGAGTCTTAAGCCAAACATTATGTCATCTGGCCTTGGGATTAACCAGAAAAATAATTCTGTGTTAAACTAATTGGATTTACATATTGATGGATACAATACTGAAAAGTATGGAAATCATGAATGTATAGCTCAGTGAATTATCCAAAGGGAGCACACCTGTTCACCAGTACCCCCACACCCAAAATAGAACATGACCAACTCTCTAGGAGCCTCTTCATGTATTCATCTCAAGTCACTGCTCTCTCTCCCTCAAGCATAGCAAATACTCTCATTTCTTTTGCTTTTTTTGAACTTTATTTAAATGGAATCATAGAAAACGTACTCTTTTATGTTAGAATTCTTTCATTATGTTCATGAGATTCATATGCATTTTTGATGTGTGTCGTCTCATTTTTACTGCTGTATAGTAATCTATTATAAAAATACATCACTCGTTTTCTTTATCCATTCTACTACCGGTGCATGTTTGGGTTGTTTTTCATTGGGGAATGGAACAATGCCACTCTGAATTTTTTTTTTTCTGAAATTTTTTTTAAGTTCAATTAGCCAACATATAGTACATCATTAGTTTGTGATGTCCTGTTCAATGATTTATTAGTTGCATATAACACAACTTAGTTGCTTATCACATCATGTGCCCTCCTTAATACCCATCACCCAGTTACCCCATCCCTCCACTACCCTTTTTTGCAACCCTGTTTGTTTCCCAGAGTTGAGAGTTTCTCATGGTTTGTCTCCCCATCTGATTTCTCCCCATTCAGTTTTCCCTCCCTTCCCCTATGGTCCTCTGCACTATTCCTTATATTCTACATATGAGTGAAACCATATGGTAATTGTCTTTCTCTGCTGGACTTATTTCACTTAGCATAATACCCTCCAGTTTCATCCATGTCGATCTGAATGGTAGGTATTCATCCGTTCTTATGGCTGAGTAATATTCCATTGTATATATGAACCACATCTTCTTTATCCACTCATCTATTGAAGCACATCTTGGCTCCTTCCATAGTTTAGCTATTGTGGACATTGCTGCTATGAACATTGGAATGCATGTGCCCCTTCTTTTCACTGATCTGTATCTTTGGGGTAAATACCCAGTAGTGCAATTGCTGGATATAGGATAGCTCAATTTTTATGTCTCGAGGAACCTCTATACTGTTTTCCAGAGTGGCTGCACCAGCTTGCATTCCCACCAACAGGATAAGAGGGTTCCCCTTTCTCCAAATCCTTGCCAAAATTTATTGTGTCCTATCTTGTTAATTTTGGCCATTCTAACTGGTGTCAGCTCATATCTCAATGTGGTTTTGATTTTAATCTCCCTGATGGCTAGTGATGTAGAACACTTTTTCATGTGCCTGTTAGCCATTTTTATGTCTTCTTTGGAGAAGTGTCTGTTCATGTCTTCTGCCCATTTCTTGACCCAATTATTTGTTTTTTTGGGTGTTGAGTTTGATAAGTTCTTTATAGATCTTGGAGACCAGCTCTTTATCTGATATGTCATTTGCAAATATCTTCTCCCATTCTATCGGTTGAACATTCTTGTACAAGTCTTTTGGCAAACATATGTCTCCATTTCTTTTAGATATATAACTGAGAGTGGAATTGTTGGGGCATAGGGTTATATGCATGTATCTTGAGAGGATACAACCAAAGGATACTACCAAAGAGTTTTCAAAAGTGATTTTATTTTAACAGTTTACAACAGTGTGTAGGAGTTCCATTTGTTCCACATCCTCATCAACACTTGGGAGTGTCAAGAGGTTTTGTTTTAGCCACTCCAGTATACATGAAGTGATGCTTCATTGTGGTTTCAATTTGCATTTTCCTGATGAGTAATGATGTGTACCTTTTCATATACTTGTTGACCATTCGGTTATCTTTTCTGAAATGCCTATTCAAATCTTTTGCCCATTTTTCTCTGGTGGATTGTCAATCTTTTTTTTTTTTTCTTAATTTATGTGAATAAGTTACCTATCCTAGATAAATATGTGGCAAATGCTTATCCCTCTCTGTGCTTGTTTTTTTATTTTTTAACTCTCCTAAAGGCATCTTTTGATGAAAAGAAATTCTTATTTGTAATAAGTTCCTGTTCATCAACTTTTTTCATTAGGGTTAGTGTACTTTCTGTTTTATCTAAGAAATCTTCACTTGCCCCAAGCTCATGAAAGTATCCTCCTATGGTATGTACTACAAATGTTATTGTTTTAAATTTCCACATATAGATGTAAAATCCACCTGGAATTAATTTTATGTACAAGATAGGAGTCAGATTCATTTCTTTCTATATGGATAACTACTTGACCCCAGAAGACTCTCCTTTCCCCACTGCTCTACTGTACTTCCTTTCTGTTTCTCTGTGTGTCTATCCTTGCATCACTGCCTCACCCTGCCTGATTATTGTAGCTTTACACTAAGTCTTATTATCTGGTAGTATAAGTTCTCCAACTTTGGCCTTCTCTTCAACTATCCTTGGCCATTTGCATTTCTACATAGACTTGAGATCAGCTTATCAGTTTCTAGAAAAAGAATCTACTGAGCTTTTTATTTTTATTTATTTTTTTAACGATTTACTCATGGGACACCTGGGTGGCTCAGTCAGTTCAACATCTGCCTTCAGCTCAGGTCGTGATCTCAGGGTCCTGGGATCAAGCCGCGCATCGGACACCCTGTTCAAAGGCAAGTCTGCTTCTCCTTCTCCCTCTGTGATCTTTCTTGTTCTCATTCTCTCTCAAATAAATAAGTAAAAATATTTTGAAAAAAGATCTACTCAATTATTTTAGAACGTGTGTGTGCACACAAGGTGGAGGGGCAGAGGGAGATAATTTTCAAGCAGACTCCCCACTGAGCGTGGAGCCCGACATGGGGCTTGATCTCATGACCCATGAGATCATGACCTGAGCCAAAACCAAGAATCAGACATTTAATCAACTGAGGCACCCTGGTTGCATTGAATCTATAGATAAATGTTACTGAATTAAATCTATAGATATATTTGGGGGAAAACCAACATCTTAACAAAATATCGCCATCTGAACAAAACATAAATTTTGAAAAAGAAGAAGTGATAAGTTGGGAAAAAAATTGCAACTCACATCACAGTCAAAGATTTCATGTTCCCAATATATAAGGAGTGCCAGTATAGAGACTGATAAGAAGAACAGCATCTTCACAATGGAGAAATGGGCAAAAGATATTAATGGACAGTATGTAGAAAAAAAATTAAATAGTCTTAAACACATGCCAGTATGCTCAGTTTCAGTCATACCATGATGAAATTGTCAAATTCAAAAGTTTGGCAATCTATTCCAAGACTGTGGAGAAATGGGAGCTGTTACTACAGAGGGCAGTTCTGGTTGTCTCGCCTTAAAAGCAGTTAAGTTATATCTTCAAGAACCACACATGTGGCCCATGTCAAAGAGGTTACTGCCTATGTTCTCCCCTAGGATTTGGGTGGATTCCTGTCTCACACTGAGGCCTTTGATCCATTTTGAGTTTATCTTTGTGTATGGTGTAAGAGAATGGTCCACTTTCATTCTTCTGTAGGTAGCTGTCCAATTTTCCCAGCCCACTTATTGAAGAGACTTTTTTCCCATTGGATATTTTTTCCTGATTTGTCAAAGATTAGTTGACCATAGAGTTGAAGGTCCATTTTTGGGTTCTCTATTCTGTTCCACTGGTCTATGTGTCTGTTTTGTTCTGATACCATGCTGTCTTAGTGATCACAGCTTTGAAATGTAGCTTGAAGTCAGGCAACGTGATGCCCCCAGCTTTGTTTTTTTTTTTTTTTTTCAACATTCTCTTGGTGATTCAGGATCTTTTCTGGTTCCATACAAGTTTTAGGATTGTTTACTCCAGCTCCTTAAAAAGTGCCAATGGTATTTGTTTTAAGATTTTATTTATTTATTTAACAGAGAGATCACAAGCAGGCAGAGAGGCAGACAGAGAGGGGGAAGCAGGCTCCCTGATGCGGGGCTCAATCCCAGGACCCTGAGACCATGACCTGAAATAAAGGCAGAGGCTTAACCCACTGAGCCACCCAAGCGCCCCCAATGGTATTTTAATAGGGATGGCACTGTATCAGGAAACTTGAGAGTGTTCACTTAAAAATCCAAATTGTGTATAACTATTTTCTAGAAAGGTATTAATTCTCAAGTGTGCAATTTTGTCTAGAAATTTTGAGAAATCTGCATAACGACATTAACCCCACATTTGTGTTTGTCTGTATGCTTGTAAAGCATTAAAGTTTTATTAACCAAATTTTTGGTACTTGATATAAATTAGAAATAGCATTTACAAGCTTTCTGAAAGTACAGTTTGCTTTCGCTTCTGTTGCAAAATTAGTCTCTAAAAACTATAAAGCTAACTAAACTGATGAAAAATATCTCTGGCGTATGGTTTGGGGAAGGAGACTTGCCTCAGAGGTATAACCATTTCATTTCTGTTTCTCATTGTTTGCAAAATTGTACGTGAAAACAGACAAAGGCTGTGTTTTAGTTATTCAGTAGTTACAGTATTTACACACACACATACACACGCACACACACACACACACACGAAGAACCACACATGTATTTTAACCTTTGATTCAACAATTCCAGTTCAGGGAATTTGTCCTGTAGAAGTGCTTCTACACTTGGTTTATGTACAAGGTAATTCGTTGCAGCTTTTTTTTGAAGAATGAATGGTTGGAAACCATCCAGTGTCCTCCAGCAGGAGTCTGGCTGAATTCATGATGCTCCATCCAGACAAAGGAATAGAATACAGTTGGGAAATAAAATAAGGAAGAAATGAAAGGGGGAAGCACTTTCTGGGTCACTAGGGAAAGCTCTCTCCCCGCTCACTGCCGCTGGCAGAGCTGACCCTCACCGGTCTCTCCCTCAGACTTCGAGTTGGCCTTTTTGAGCACCTAGAGAAGTGGTTTGACCAGTGTGTCCTCAAAACTCGGGTCATGGTGGCCACCAAGATCAATGAGCTGGATTCAGAATTGGAGCTGCATCAGCATCTACATGAGCCAAGAGCCAAGTGCATTGAAAAGGACATCCATAACGTCAGGGCAGGTATGGACCCTGCTTGGCAAGGCCTCCCTGCCCCAGACAGCCGGAGTCTGTGCCACGGCAGTTCTGTATTCATTAGGTGCCCCTGTCTGAGGGTTCTACACCCCCAGGCTGGTGGAAAAGGCAGTATTCAGAGCCCACACTTGAGATTAAAATTAAAAAAAATATTTTTTTACAGTTCTTTTAAATAGAATGAAGAGTATTGTCCTGTTTTAGCTGTGTGAATACCAGATCTGCTCCACACCTATCTGATACACACTTGCATAGCACATGCTCTAGAGGCAAGCTGTAGCTCAAGAATCATAGCTACCAGACTCTGGCTGTGTGACTCTGGACATGTTACCTGACCTCTCTGATCCCTCCCTTACTTGTAGAAGGGGATATTGTTGATGGTAATTAACTCTCCCTGAAAGGGTAGAGTGAGGAATCGTGAGCAAGTGGGACCCATTAATTTCAGCTTATAATTTATAATTTGAGAAGAGGTGCCATTTCTCTCCTAGGCAGAGGGCTCCTAGAGGGTGGCATACTTTTAGTTGGATCTTCAGGGACCCTGTTGGGTTTTCACTTGTGTCACACTTCAGACTTTTTCATAAACGCTTTGAGTTCCCAGAGTGACCCCCCACGTGGTCCCAACCAAACTCCTCCTGCCTAGAACAGTGACAGAATTGTGGAATCAGACAGCCTGGCCTGGAATCCCAGTGCTTGTGGCCCAGGAAGCCCTGCTTGGCTTTGGAACCTCATTGTGTTCATCCGGAAAATGTGTGCATTAAATATAAGTATAAATTGAGATTCTCCATGAAGGCTGATTTCCTGCGTCTTCCCTGGATCCCTGCCCCAGTGCACAATGGGGAGATTGAGGTCAGAGGAACAAGGTCCCAGAGTCCCCACACTCATTTTTGGTAGAGCTGGGATGACAGCACTTTCCCCTGCAGGCCGCAGGGCAGAGAGGGTGGGCTGACCTAGGGCTATCCGCCAGCTCTAAAGGCCTCTGATAGAGCCCTTGAAGCCAAATTCCAGTTCCGTTTACTCTGCCCTAGAAATCTTTTGGAGTTTGAGCTCCCTGGAAAGAGCAGCCACTGATAGAAAGGAACAAAATCCAGCTGCTCTGCCCAGACTTGTGCTGGTTGTTTTCTCCACACTCTTCTCACCACATTCCCACCCTTCCTGACACCCTCCACCCCACCCGCCTGCTCCTGGATCTCTTCACACACAGGGACTCCCCTGCTCACAGCCTGGTCAGCCTCCTTTCCAGTGAGAGACCCTGGGGCAGTCTCAGATCGGCCCCCCTCAGATCGGTACCCGTTCCCCAGCCAAGCCCTGGCAGGGGCAGCTGTCACCATCCAGGAAAGAAATGTCGTGAGGTGACTTGAGATCCCAGAGGGCCTCACTCTGCCTCGTCCTTTTTCAGCTGAGCTCTTGCTTCACCAAGAGCGGCTGGACAGCCACTGTGTTGGGGTGACAGAGACGCTAAGGAAGGAGAAGATGATGTTCTGCCAGTTCCAAGAAGAGCAAAACATAAAGAGCAAAAACTTCCGCCGCAAGATTTACAACATGGAACACATCTTCTTGAATGCCACAAAGAGCCAGAGGTGAGGGCCATGGAATCCCAGACATGATATGCCAGCCTTTGGCTGCTCTCAAAGGAGTGGTCCCTTCCTGGTGGACACGAGTCAGTTTTCCAGGCCCCACAGCAACCTTCCCTTTTCAGTTCACCTCTTCACAGGTGTCAGGGGCTAACTGAGTGACTCCTCTGGCGGGGAGATGGGCACTGGGTGCTGGGTGAGCAGCCAGGGAGAGAAAAGGGCACCTGTGGTCAGGAGGCAGGGATGTTACTAAGCTGCCCCAAAATGTCCATGCAGGGAAAGGCCACTTCCACCCAGGGGAATCAGAAAGAGCTTCCTGCAGGAGGACCCCCCTGTCCTGGGATGGAGGAAGGTAAAGAGGAGACAGAATTTTCCCCCTCAGAAAGGAGCACTGGCCCAGCTTGAGGTGGGAATGTGCTCATGGCAGAGCAAGGGGTTCCAAGGAGGCCATTCAGGGCTTTGAGATGGAGGCTCCTGAGTGCTCAGGGAGGCCTCCATCAGGTAACAGGTGAGGAGCCCTCCCTGGTGTCAGGTACACAGGAGGCTGCTGAGGGTGGACTTCAGGTAAAGAGGAAAGTTGCATGGTGCTCCTTCAGGAGAGCATCAACCACAGGAAGCACATTGCTGGGGGAGAGAGAGAGAGAGAGCGCTGCAGGGAGGCTGAAGATCCTGTGGGACCTGGGGATTCCTTCAGTAATTTGGCAGCGAGGGCCAGAGAGAAGCAAGAGATGGCCTCTGAGACAGCACACTGAGAGTTCCACGCTGTGTCCTGTACACACTGGCATTTTGAACTTCCTTTTAGCTACTTTTCCTACCCAGAGGAACATGGCCGTGGTTCTGGTGGCCCCACAGCTGGGCACAGCAGTGGAGCTCAAGCAGCCCCCAGGCTGCCCTTCCACACCCGGGTCACCACCCTGCCCTCCTGTGTCCGCCAGGCTGGTTAGTCTCAGCAGCACGCTGCACCGGGAGCTGCTCAGCTATGTCGACGTCATCCAGGTGTCCCTGCGCAGCTTCCGCCAGTACCTGGAGGAGAGCCTGGGCAAGCTTCGCCTCACCAACATTGAGTTCATCAAGCACTGCAGGTGGGAGCCTGCATCCAGGGCCTCTGCGGGCCCTGGGCTTCCCCTGTCAAGAATTGGTCTTGTTTCCCCTTACTTTTTTATTGTGACAAAATATATCACATCAAACTGTCCATTATAACCATTTTTCAGGTGGACCATTAGTTCTGTGACACTAAGTTCATTCACATTGTTGTCCAACCATCCCCACCATCCAGTTCCAGAATTTTTCATCTTCATAAACTGAAACTCTGAATCCGTTGAACGCTAACTTTCATTTTCCTCCCTCAGCCCCTGACAGCCATAATTCTGTTTTTTTGTCTCTGTGAATTTGACTACTGTAGGTGTCTCATGTAAGTGAAATCATAGAATATTCGTCCTTTTGTGTATCTGGCTTATTTCACTGAACATAGGGTCTTCAAGACTCATCACGTGGCATGTGTCAGAATGTCACTCCTCCTCAAGGCTGAATATGTCTCCATTGTGTGTATACACCACACGTCGTTTCTCTGTTCCTCCCTTGAAGGACATTTGGGTCATTTCACTGCTTCTGTCTTTGAACCCCCTGTATCTATTTTTTCTGTGAGCTTATACTTTCTAAAGCTTCATCAACCACAGGTTTGGGGATGGGAGGGAAGTTTGAGGTCTGATCAGTGGCTTGTATTTCTCTCAAACCACTTTCAGATTGTTTTCTGAGGGAGGCAACTTTTCTTCTGAAGAAATCAATTCGCTGTGTCATCGACTGGAGAAGGAAGCTTCTAGAATAGAGTTTGTTGAAAGTTTAATCATGATCAACATGGAGAAGATGGAGAGCGAATACCTGGACCAGGTGGGGGAGCCCTGCCCCTGACCTCCAGCCAGGCTCCCAGGACACCCTTGCTCATTGCCTGACGGGTCCGTCAAGCCCCCTTTCCAAAAAATTGTGCCTGTCCCACTCTGCTCCCGAAATCTGTAAGTTCCAAATTAAACCCACCTCCTTTACTTTTTATATATCTTTACAGGCCAATGATGTCATCAACAAGTTTGAAAGCAAATTCCATAACCTGTCTGTGGACCTTATTTTCATAGAGAAAATCCAGCGGTTGCTAACAAATCTGCAAGTAAACATCAAGTGTGAGGTAGGACAGATTCATTCTTCACCTGCATGCTAGACACTGTCCCAAGTGCTGGGGATACGACTATGGGCTCTGCCCCATGGGACTTGAACTCTACCCAGGGAGATAGATATTAAATCATAATAACCTCTAGGATTCATTGAGTTATTATGCACTATACATCTTGCTAACCGACTTATTTTGATCAGCTATATTAGTCCTCCCAAGAACAGTGTGAAGCAAGTCCTGTTTCCCCCCCTACTTTAGAGACAAAGAAACTGAGACAGAGAGTAATAGGTGACCTAGACAAGAACACAGAGCTCTTGAATGTGAAATCAAAATGTGAACTGAGGTCAGTGATCTTAAATAAACAACCTAACTGTACACCTCAAGGAACTGGAAAAAAAATTAAACCCAAAGTTAGCAGAATGGAGGAAATCACAAAGATCAGGTAACAAATAAATGAAATAGAGACCAGAAAAGCAATAGAAAGGATCAATGAAACTAGAGATGGTTTTTCAAAGGTAAACAAAATCAAATAACCTTTAGCTAGACTAAGAAAAAAGAGATAAGACCAGGATAAAATCAGAAATGAAAGAGAAGATAGTACAATGGATACTGCAGAAATACAAGAATCTTAAGACTATTATGACCAATTATATGCCAACAAATTGCATATCCTAGAAGAAACGGAAAAAGTTCTAGAAACATACCTACCAAGACTGAATCATACACAAATGGGAAATCTGAAGAGACCAAGAATGAGTAAGGGGATTGAATCAGTAATCAAGAACCTCCCAACAAAGAAAACTCAGGATCTTATGGTTTCATGGGTGAATTCTACCAAACATTTAAAGAAAACTTGACACCAATTCTTCTCAAACTCTTCCAAAAAATAGAATAGGAGGGAATACTTCCAAATTAATTTTACAAAGCCAACATTACCCTGATACCAAAGACAGATAAGAACACGGTAAGAAAATGACAGACCGATATCCCTGATGGATATAGATGCAAAAATCCTCAACAAAATATTGGCACACCAAATTCAACAGCACATTAAAAGGATCATACACTATGGGGGCACCTGGGTGGCTCAGTGGGTTGGGCCTCTGCCTTCGATTCAGGTCGTGATCTCAGGGTCATGGGATCAAGCCCTGCATCGGGCTCTCTGCTCAGTGGGGAGCCTCCTTCTCCCTCTCTGCCTGCCTCTATGCCTGCTTGTGATCTCTGTCTGTCAAATAAATAAATAAAATCTTTTTAAAAATCTTTTTAAAAAAAGGATCATACACTATGATCACGTGTCACTTATCTCTGGGATGCAAGGATGGTTCCATATACAAATTAATCAGTGTGATACCATATTGGTAGAATAAAAGATAAAAATCATTTAATCATCACAATGGATGCAGAAAAAGCACTTGACAATGTACAACATCTTTTCTTGATAAATATGTTAAACAAATGAAGTAAAGGAGGAAAATACCTAAGTATAATAAAGGCCATATGTGAGAAGCCCACAAGTAATATCATACTCAACAATGAATAGTTGGAAGTGTTTCCTCTAAGATCAGGAACAAGACAAGGACACACCCTCTCACCACACCTATTCAACATAGTACTGGAAGTCCTAGCCGGAGTGATCAGGCAAGAGGAAGAAGTAAAAGGCATCCAAAAAGAAACAGAAGAAGTAAGATCATCTCTGTTTGCAGAACATATGATCTTATATATAGAAGAGCCATCAAAAAATTGTTAGAATTGATCAACAAATTCAGTAAAGTTGTAGGATACAAAGTCATTATCAAGAAATCAGTTGCATTTGTATATACTAACAGTAAAACATCTAAAAAAATGAAGAAAAACAATCTCATTCACATTAGCATCAAAAACAATAAAACACTTAGGAATAAATTTAACAAAGAGGATGAAAGATCTACACACTGAAAACTGTAAGAATTAGGTGAAAGAAATCAAAGAAGATACAAATTGAAAGATACCCCATGTTCATAGATCAGAAGAATTAATACTGTTAAAATGTCCATACTCCTCAAGCTTATCTATAGATTTAGTGCCACGCCTATCAAAATCCAATTGAAATTTTTCATGGGAATAGGAAAATCCATCCTAAAAATTCTGTGGAACCACAATAGATTATAAATAGCCAAGCAATCCTGAGAAAGAAGTGCAAAGCCTCACAATTCCTTATTTCAAACTATACTACGAAGTTATAATAACCAAAATAGTATGGTACTGGCATAAAAATGGACATATAAATCAATGGAACAAAATCTGAAGTTCAGAAGAAATAAACTGTCACATATAGAGTCAAGAAGTATTGAGTATTGACAAGAAAGTGAAGAATACTCAATGGGGGAAAGGATAGTCTTTTCAATAAATGGTGTTGGGAAAACTGCATAACCACATGCAAAAGAATGAATTTGAAATCCTATCTTACACCACACACAAAAATTAACCCAACATGGATTAAAGGCCTAAATGTAAGACACGAAGCCATAAAACTGTGGGAAGAAAACATAGGGAAAAACTCTTTGACATTAGTCTTGGCAATGATTTTGTGGATGTGACACCAAAAGCGCAAGCAACAAAAGCAAAAATTAACAAGTGGGACTGCATCACATTGACTAGCTTCTGCACAGCAAAAGAAACAACAAAATGAAAAGATAACTTACGGAATAGGAGAAAATATTTGCAAATAATATATCTGATAAGAAGTTAACATCCAAAATATGTAAAGAACTCCTATAACTCCATAGCAAAAGAAGTAAACAATATGATTTAAATTTAGTAATAAATTAAAATAATATAATAAATAATAAATAAATAATATAATAATAAAATAAATAATAAATTAGATTTCCTTTGCCCAAAGGAACTGAATAGACATTTTCCAATAGAAGACATACAAATGGCCAACGGGTGGATGAAAAAGTGCTCAACATCACCCATCATCAGGGAAAGACAAATCACAATGACAATGGGGTATCACCTTACACTTGTTAAAATGGCTGTCATCAAAAAGATAAGAGATAGTAACTGACGGCAAGGGTGTAGAGAAAAAAGAATCCTTGTGCACTGTTTGGGGGAATGCAAACTGGTGCAGCCACTGTGGAAAACTGTATGGAACCACCATATGGTCCAGCAGTCCCATTTTTGGTTATATAGCCAAAGGAAATGAAAATATGGTCTTGTAGCTATATCTGCACTCCCATGCTCATTGCAGCATTTTTCACAATGTGAATGTGAACAATGTGGCAGAGTGTCTGTCAACAGACGAATGGGTAAAGAAGAGGTATCTGTACAATGGAACATTATTTGACCATGAAAAGGAAGGAAATCCTACCATTTGTGACAACACATATGGTCCTTGAGGGCATTAATCATAGTGAATAAGTCAGAGAGAGATGAATACTGTATGATCTCACTTACATGTGGAATCTACAAAAGCCAGACTTAGAGATAACCAAGGATAGAATGGTGGTTACCAGGGACTGAGGGGTAAGGGAAATGCAGAGATGAGGGTCAGTGGGTAAAAACTTTCAGTTATAAGACAAATAGGTTCTGGGACTCTAATGTGAAGCATGATATTATAGTTACAAATACTGTGTTGTATACTTGAAAGTAGCTAAGAGAGTAGATCTTAAATGTTTTCATCCCAAAAAGGAAATGGTAATTATTTGATGTGGTGGAGGTATCAGTTAATGTTATGGTGATAATTATTTTGTGATATATAAGTGTATCAAATCAACACGTTGTAAACCTTAAACTTACATAATGTTATGCATCAATAATATCTCAATAAAGCCAGGAGTGACTTTGACTTATTTTTAAGCTTTTTTCTATATATGGAAAGAGGGACGCCTGAGTAGCTCAGTTGGTTAAGCGGCTACCTTCAGCTCAGGTCATGATCCCAGTGTCCTGGGATCGAGTCCCACATCAGGCTCCTTGCTCAGCAGAAAGCTTGCTTCTCCCTCTGCCTCTGCCTGCCACTCTGTCTGCCTGTGCTCACTCTCTCTAACAAAAAAAAAAAAAAATGTTATATATGGAAAGATTTCTCATATATATGTGTGTGTGTGTGTGTGTGTGTGTGTGTGTGTACACACACACATAAAGAACAAAACTGGCCTCATGCTATTTATACAATTTTTTAAAGTGTATCATCTTTAAAGATTCTTTCAAAAACACTACTGTGATGGTTTCCCTCTCCTGAATTTGTTGCCATTTTTACCTAGCCATTCCTTTTTGGAGGAACATTTTGGTGGATTTCACTTATTATACCAATGGTATTATGAACACCCTTGCACAGGAAACTCTGATTATGTCTATGGGTATCTCGCAGAGCTGGATCACGGGGGCAGAGCACGAATGTTTTAAGGCTCCTCATGTTTTCTAGGTGGCTTATACAGACAACCCTCCCCAGTGGGACAATGCCCTTAACCACTACTGTGGGTTGACGATTTTATTTTATTTATTTATGTATTTATTTATTTATTTATATTTATTTGTGAGAGAGAGAGCGTGAATGGTGCAGAGAATCAGAGGGAGAGAGAGAAGCAAACTCCCCAATGAGCAGGGAGCCCGATGCAGGGCTCAATCCCAGGACGCTGGGGTCACAACCTGAGCCAAAGGCAGACGCCCAACTGACTGAGCCACCCAGGCGCCCTGTTGATTTTATTTTTAAACCTTATCTGTTTGAGAATAAAAAGCAAGCAAAAAAAAAAAAGTTTTTACATTTGCATTGATCTAGCTTCTGATAACATTTTGTATTCTCCCCCATTTCGTTTTTCCAATATTGAATTCATCTCCCAGATAATATATTTTCCTGGTCAAAATAAGTATTCTAGAAACAAATCATGGAACCTCTGGTTTTTCTAGGTTGCAAAATCCAATTTGCAAACAGATGGATTAAATTCTTCTCTGGAACAGCTCCAAAGGAAAGTAGAAATGTGTCGAAACTCAAAGGGAGATAAAAAAGTAAGTATTCAGTATTTGCTAAGCTATGAATAGTAAAGATGCATTACACCAGAATTATAAACTAGAAGTAAACTTATATCTGTCATCAAAATTCCTCTGACTCCAGAGGGGCCTCCTAGCCTTCCTACTCAACTCCTGCTTTAGTCAATGGAATTAAGGACGAAGAGAAAACACAGCTACCTCCCTCAGCCCCCAGACCCTCCCAAACAGGCTTCTAGAGTCCAGAGAGTTGGGGGCTTAGGTCTGACCTCACTCCCCCTCCGATGTCACCAGGCATCCCTCCCTGTAACTGGAACTCAGCCCTCAATGAAAGATAGAAGCAGGACTCTGGCCTCTGAACAACCACTTTTGTTGTTGTTGTTGTTTTCATTTGCTTGGTTTTTTGATCATGGCACACACACTGGCGACTTCTGTTTTCTATGTATAAACTGAAGAGTCCAAACGAGAGCGATACGGATCAGCATAGCAGGTCTCTCTGCACGTTTCTGTTGTTTCCTTGCTTGTTTTCCCCCATGAGTTTCATGCTCAGACCTGGCCTCCCTGAGCAATGTTTGCTCAACGACTCCCCCGGACACTCGAGAACCAGAAGTCTCAGCTGGAGGTTTCTTGAGTGGGATGTTCCTTCCTCACCAAGCTCTGTCTTTTCTCTTCCATTTCAGTGACTGAGTTGAGGTTTTATTTTTGTCAACACTGAGAGGACATTTAGTGTCTATCTTTGTTGCTTTTTCTTGCATAGTAACACATGCTTCTTGAAGAAAATTCAAACATCCACAAAGCACAGAGTGAATACATGTCCTTCATCTTATTCTGTCTCTCTCTCACTCTCTCTCTCATTCTTCTTTTTTTTTTTTTTTTTTTTTTTTTTTTGCAGAGCCCCCAGTGACCTCTGTATTTTCCTGTACTTATTTTCTACACATACCCAGGAACACAGAAAGCAGGTTTATCTGAAGTGACTCCTTTAGCAGACCCTCTAGAGATAGCTCTCTCTCCAGAGCAGAAACATTTGCACTTCTACCTTTCCTCACCTCCCCAGCCCCCTCACTGTACCCTCCTGGTGGTGTCAGGGTGCCGGACAGGGGGTCTGGGGCTTGCACAGCCTCCTGGCCAGGGCAGGGGAGCATGAACTTGGGTGGGCAGGCAACCGTGTTGGATGGAGGGGACTGGTTGGCTATCTGCAAAGCAGTGATTGGGAGACAGGAACAATGCATTGGATACATGGCAGAGGCGGTGGGAACCAGGGGCAGATGTGGCCAGGGTCATGGGCTCAGTGCCACACACAAAGAGTGCCTTCTGGCTACTGTGTGCAGAAAGTCAGGGAGGGAGTGAGAAGTGAGGCAGGGTGCCGCAACTGAGGCAGAGAGAATTGTGCCAGCAGAGATACCTCTGATTCCAGAATTGAGTGGCAAGGGAATGGATAGGATTCAGAGCATAGTGGAGATAAAGGAAGCGGAAGAGGCCAACGCACCTCCTGGCCTGGGTTGTCTATAGAGGCCAGTGGACAATTCAGGGGACCAAGTGTGAGGACTGCTGAGTGATGTGTGAAATGTGCAGTGAGCGTGAACATCCTTCCAGGTGCTTCTCTGCACACCTAGGGGCATGGTCTGTGGGATTGCTGCATGTGCCCCTGACCTTATTAGATCACCTTTCAGAAAGGCTGTGGTCATTTCACTCCTACACAGCCTGGCCATCTTGGGCCAAACATTTCCTTCTCAGAGTTTCAGAGCTAGAAGAGATCCAAGGGAACATTCTGGGTCACCACCGTGCAAATAAGGAAATGGAGTTGAGCAAATTTAAATGATTAGTCCAGAATGAACCCATAAAACCAGGACTAGAATTCCTATGCCCCATCATTGAAGGATTTGCTGCCCCAGTGCAGCTGCACAGGGGAGCCAGCTGGCATCCCCCACTGTCTCGGAGCTCTCCCTGCAAGTGAGAGGCCTCCAGAGAACCAAGAGGCCTGCACTTCAAATGTAGGAAACTAGCCTTCCTTCAGCCTGCTTCCTGTGGTTTTCTTCCCCTAGATGGTGACCTCGGAAGACCTCCTTGGCTTCGTCCAGACTTGGAAAGAGAAACTGGGCCAGAGGATTCAGTACCTCAACTGCAGGCTGGACACAGCGTCCATGACTCAAGTGGTCTTTGCCGTAAGGAATGGACAGTAAAGGAAGGGACTGGCAGTGGAAAGGGTGGGGGAGCCATCAGGTGTAGGCTCAGTAGAGCCTAAGGGAAGAGGAGGCTCCCAGGCTCCTGTTGGACAACAGGCCTACTAAAAGACTATATATATACTTTCTAGTAGATACATATATATGTATCTACTAGAAAGACTATAGGCTATGCAGTCAGACCTGAGCTCAAATCCCAGATAGTCCACTTCCCTGCCTTGGGTGCTTAGAAGACCCCTCACCTCTTGACACCACCTCCTCATCTCCACCAGGACCTTCGGCTTACCCCACCCACTGGCTCTCAGGCAACCCTCACCTCTAAGCCCCTTCCTTCTTGCCCACACCCATGAGCAACCACTATCTTCTCCCCACCCCATCCCTACCTGCTCTCCTTGCCCACCTGGGTGCCCATGCCCTCTCACTTCCCCCTCATGATCCACTCCCTGAGCTGCAGTCTGGAGAAGATCAGTCTGACTGTGTCACTCTTCTGCCTTCAGGGTGAAATCCAGACCCTGGGACGGGGCCTTTACAACGGCCTTCTCAACCTGCCCTCCATGGCCTCTTCATTTCTCGCCCTCATTAACACCCCAAAGACATGGCTTACCCCCGGGCCTTCTCTTTCAGACCCTACAGTGAGGTCTCCATTTTTAGGGGCTGTCTCTCTAGACAGTGTGCCCCAAAAGGGCAGAGCTTGTCGCCTTCACCCATACTCAGCCTCTCACATCAGGCTTTGAATGCTGGAGGCACTCAACCATGTTCCAGGGGTGGAGTGTCGTAGAACCAATGTGGGCAAAAGCGACACCCCGAAAGTTCTTTTCTGGGCACCTTCTCACTGCCACATTTTGAGCCAGTGTTTCCTTTATGGGAAGGCTCTTCACACCAGGCCACCAGTACTAAGCGTCCCTCACACCACTGGCACTGCGCCCTTCCAGATGAAACTCAGGGTCCTTCCCTCTTATAGTCTCCCTCTGAGAGAAGGACACTCGGTAAGATAGGGAACAACCTAACTAAGCACCCCCTGTGGGCCACCACTCCTACCCTTTCTCCAAGATCCAACTTTTGGGGGGTGTTGTCTCCTCGTTTGTGTACACTTTCATTCACTCCTCCCTTTCAAGAACAGTGCCTGGGCATATCTGCAGGCTGGCCTTATAAGTCCATGATCCTTGGTCTCATGGAAGACTCTGGAACTTCTCTTTCACAACGCTGGTCCCAGTTTTGACCAATCATTTATTTGTGGAAGCGCATGTTAGACTAGACTGTATGCCCCATAAAGATGAGGGTCACATGTCACCTCTATGCTGTGTCCCAGGCCCCAGGCAGCACCTGGGCAAGTACTTGGGAAACATTTTGAAAGCCAACACGCGCACATAAATGCACGCGTGCATACCTGCATGAATGACCCTCTAAAAGAGATAGGACCATTACCATTTTTAAGAAGGAAAATTGAGGCTCAGAGAATCAGGCAGCTGGCTGCCAGCTGCAGGCCCTGGAAACACGAACACAACCTGCCTGCATCTCTGGACTGAGGCTGGGCCCACCAACTCAGGTCCTTCTCTTGGGCCTGTAGGACAATGTCATGACAGACCTAGAGGTGGAGAGTGACATCATGGTGTCTTCAGAAGCCCTTGAAGAGGAGGCCAAGGTAGACTTGGTCACCCCCGAGTCCTTCGCCCAGCCGAGCCGCATGGGGAAGCCCATGATTGAAGACCCAGCTGTGGAAGTGGTCAAGAATATCCTGCAGTGAGTGGCTATGGGATCTGTGAGAGGGCCTGCCACCCTAGCTCATGGCCTCGAAACTTCAGGCACCATCCGTGGGGTCCCACACACAAGTTTCCCACCCCTGACAGCCTGTGACTTTGTACAACACCTTCTCCTCTTGAACCTCAGTTTCCTCCTCTGGAATGAGGCTCATAATCGGACTGATACACACAGTATTGTGGGCTAACCGGGATGGTAGCTGACCTTGTGCTCACTGGGAAAAAGCTCATGTCCTTTCCTTTGGTTTCAGACTTCCCGATGAAAAATGCTCAACCCAGCCATGTGACAAAGACCGGTCCCAGACAGGTAGAGGCAAACAGGCCTGTGGGTCTCAGGAGACTGGTGGTGGGGGAGCCCCCTGGCCCATCCTCACCTCCGGTCCTCCATTCTTGCCCTGGGCACTCATCACCCAAAGGCTTGAAGCGACACCAGAACCAGGGGGAACATGTCGTGAAGAAAGCCCAGTCCAGTGGCAGTGCCACTTCAACGGCAAGGTAGGGAGTCTGGGCTGCCCAGGATCTCCCCTCCCCACATGCCTTCCCTCACCCCCAAGACATAGGCCAGAACCCACCCTGTTGCTTCACCAGACTGTCCTCAGAAGGCACCACCTATGCTCACTATTCTGAGACCCCCAAGGGACCCCATGAGAGGCTGGCTCTGAAGCTGGCTTTAGTCAGGTCTGTGCACGTTCTTGCTGAGTGACTTGGCTCACATGGGCCTCCCACCTCAAGAATCCATCTTGATGTTCTGTGGCTTTCCGTGGTGGCAGCTGCTAGATCCCAGCCCTCTTCCCATATCCATCATCCTGGTTAAAAAAAAGAGGGACATTGGAGGGTGCCTGGGTGGCTCAGTAGGTTAGGTGTCTGCCTTTGGCTCAGGTCATGGTCCTGGAGTCCCAGGATCAAGGCCCATATTGGGCTCCTTGCTCAGCAGGTAATCTGCTCTCAATAAATAAATAAAATCTTTAAAAAGAGGGGGGCACATTGGAGATGGCTTCCCTTACAGAAGGAATCCTAGACTTCTGCATCCTGGCCAGGTACTCTACCCACTGTGCCCACATTGGGGTCATTAGACTCATGGCTCAGTGGGTGTGGGCCCCACTGTCCCCTGATAATGATTTTATAGAAGGCAAGTAACAGAGCCAGTGGCTGAAATGACTTCTGCATTCTCTGTGAGCCTTTGTTTATATGGTTTAGTTCCTGGTTTTGAAGAAGTGGTAGTGAGGAAATTCCTGCTTTGCATACCTCCAAGAGGCCCAATTGAACATGAACGCCATCTGCAATGTGGAAATAAACCCAAGACCAGTCAGATGGGAAAAGCAATGGCTATTTATTCGGAGCGTGGTACAGCAAGGGGGTCAGCCAGCATCACTTACATTTTAGCAGAGACTCAAAGGCAGCTGAGGGAGTGAAAAGGCGACGGTGAAGAAAGGGAAGACTTTCCGTGTGCTTTTATTGGAGGCTGTTGACATGGGGAAGCTGGAGGCCGGCCAGCTAGCAGCAGCCAATTGATGTGATTACTTGGGGCTGTGTATTTGGCTTTCTCTGGTTAATCCCAAGTTGGAAAGAGGGACAATAATCCAGTCCTAACCTTTTGGAGCTGACTGTTATGAGTTGTTGTTTAGCATTTTGGGTTGCCATGAGAGATAACAGTAAGGCTTCCTGCAAGTCTGCCCTACGTCAGGCTGGCTTCCCAAGTTTTTTTTTTACAGTCGACAAGGAGTTGCTTTCCCGGGCAGGTGGCTGTAGGGTGTGGCTCAGAGCTTTCTGTATTTCTGTACAGTCCAGCTGCTATCCATTTGTACAGTCAGTCTCTCAGTGGTTACAAAATACAGTCCATGTTGCTAGGGCTATCTGATGTTGCTTGGGACCTACTTAAACATTATTCGCTGCTTCTATGAAATTCAAGTTTAATTGGGCATAACGTACTTTGATTTGAGAAGCACCTCAACCTGTTTTTCTTTGGGTCCTCACTACAGGGAAGCAAGGATACATAATTTCTGGCCCTTCACCCCCCTCTCAGGGACCTTGGGTGGGTTTTAACGATAAGAACTTCACCCCCACAATAAGATTATCTCCACAGAAGATGGGGAGTAGGGAAGTATCTTGAAGGGTTCAGCCCCAGACATGGGAGTCATGGTATCCCCAGAGGCTCTAGGCACAGGAGACCTGCCTGTCCATGCCAACCTCCCAGGCACTGACTCACCTGTGTCTCACAGCATCACACGGTACTCCAAGCCCAACCGAATGGACAGAAAGTTCCAGGTGCTTGGGGAGAAGCCACCACCTCCAGCTGAGTAAGTGGAACCTCATCCTTTAACTCTTTAACTGATTGTCTCAGGGGGTGGCTAAACCTGACACAACTGGGGGGAAAAGAAGAAGGAGAGGTGGGTGAGAGGACAGGTAAGGATCAAGGTCAATGTGTCTCATTCCATTTCACCTAAATTCTTTTGAGAGACATGTTCATCAAAATTTCTCATTTTCCAAGCTAAGTAGCAGGGAGCATACCCCTTTTAGGTTTGGGGTTTTTTGTCGTTTCTTTGTTTGTTTGTTTGTTTGTTTTTTCAATTTTCTAATGCCTCACCTCCCCCATTCCTCTTTTCCTTTATTTTAATTTTATTGATTAAAACAATCAGTATGTTTTAATATATTATAATATTATATTATAATAGTATACTTAATATGGCTACATTTCAAGCTGTTTAAACAAGCAAGATTTTAACTTCAGAAAACTGGGGACCCTCAGAGAAAGTCAAGATATACAATGAATACACACATAACCCCCTTAACCAGGGATCTCACCATCACAGCACCCCTACTTATCAGGCTTTTTGCCCCACTGGTCTTATCTCTGGGGTTTTGTGAACTTTGTAAAAAAAAAAAAAAAAGGTGGCTTTCACTTCAGGTGGCCCAGAAGTTGGGTCCAAGTCAGCAGCTAGAATCTCCCTTGTTCCCTCACAAAAAGACATTCCTTATCATTAAAACCTTGACTCTCTCTTTCCATTTTGTATAGTTCTGTCATTTTATCGCATGTGTATATTCGTATAACCATCACCAAAATCGAGAAACAGAACTATGCCATCACCACCAACAGATCGGTCACTCTGCTATCCCTTCATATCCATACCTACCCTCTCTCCCTCACCATTTCCAACCCTGAGCAACCACAAATCCATTTTCCAGCCTTACCATTTTGTCATTTCAACAATGTCATATAAACAGTCTTATATAGTGTATGACCTTTTCAGAGTGGCTTTTTGCACTCAGCATAATGTCCTTGAGGTCCGCTCCAGCTGTCACATGCATTAGTAGTCCATCCCTTTGTGTTGTTAAATAGTTAGCCACCATATTGAGGCACCATGGTATTTTTGTGGTAGGAAAAAAAAAAAAAAATCACAGACTAAACAGAAAAAAAAGTAAATAAATCCAGCATTTATGAAATCTCTGAAAGGGGAGAGACTTTCCTCTCCCCATTCAGTGGTGAATTGATCAGAAAATGGAATCAGATGGATGATGTTTTGACCCCCACACTGGGACTCTGGCTAAGCGACGTCTCCCAAGCCTTCACCTTCTCTGTGCACTGTGGGTAGAAGACGATCCTCCTCGTGGAGCTGTAGAGAGGAGCAGAGGGTCACCCACAGGCCTCCCTTGACTATACAGGATCATCACCCCAAGAAACACTAGATGAAAGCACAAGGAAAAATGATGGAAAACTTTGGAAAATAGGTTTTTTAACTCCTCTGAGGTAAATTGCAATTAAAAGTTACATAACAACCAGCCAAGACACAACAGTGGTAGATAAGGTCAACAAAGCAAAAATTGGCTCCTCTCCCTGCCTCCCTACCCCCAGCAAACTGCTAAGGAAATTTCCAGCACTCAGTAGGGTAAGGGGGAGAACTGGAAGAGACAACACAAGGAGGAGATAAAATTAGGAACACACATGTGGAGAAAACACTAATTCTCACTAGAATGCAAACCAACGAAAGGGGAAGAAATCCATTCCATATTTTGCCTGAGATTAACCAATCTGTAAATAGATTTTTAGAGGAAGTTCCCAGTATATCAAGGGAGGGTGCAGATGGTCCCTCCCAGGTACTGCCAGTGTGAGTTGTTGAAGGAAATTTTATTCTGATCCTTGTTAGAACAGTAAGAAAGACTTTATGCAGGACCAAGACTGTTCCAACAGGGGAAAGTGGGCCTCAACTCAGAATACAATAAGGACAAGAGAAGATCTGTAGCCAGTGTGCAGAGCGAGGTGGGTAATAAGTGGAAAATTGAAGGGTAGTGGGATTCTTGCTAAGCCTACTTAGCAGGATTCTTGGTCATGGTGATCGGATAGCGAAGGTCATCCAATATGAGGGTGGGGGGTTGTGTCTCAACTGACTTAATAGTGTTCTTGCTCTCATAAGACCTAGCAGGCCAAAGACAGTGCCCAAGGATGAGGCCTCGTCAGGAAGTAGGCTCAGAAGAGCCTGTCTGAAGTCTGGTCGAGCAGAGAGTCATGATCAGTCCCTCCTCTTATTCAAGGAAATACTATCAGTTCATTTCTCATTCCATCGGCTTTTGTTCCTTAAAGACCAGCTGAACCACCTGTTGAGACTCGGTGGTAGGGTACCCAGTCAAGCTTTCTAGATGCTGGGCCTGAAGCATCCTGAGTGGCCCACACGGGAGCAGCTCTAGGCGTTATGGTTGTCCCTTGTCCAGTGTCAGCTTGCTGGACTTCATTAGATTTTGGAGGGAAAGCCAGCCATAGACGACAGGAAGTCCCAATAAAGATCCAGGCAGCCAAGCCTTGTTCTCGGTGGCATCAAGTCAGCCGAGTGGGAGAGAATTTGGAAACATTCACTGGGGGAGTTGTAGCCAGATATTGAAGGAAACTAGCAGAACTGAATGTTTGGTAAGGACTGACCAACTGTGCAAGATGGCAAGATCCCAGTCCCATTCACAGGTAGGTGACACAAGCTCAAAGACAGTAAACAGGACTAGAATCTTCTAACCCGCAAGAGTGTGCTGTAGTTTTCCACTGAGGCATAAAACTTCTATCGCCCCTCTTTCTGATGCTTGTCTACAGAACATGCCTGATTTCTTTAGGTTTGGCCCGATTCTTCATGTAGGTGCTGCAAGTGTGGTAACTGACTGCACAGATCTCTTCATAAAGAGTTTCAGAGTAGACTTGCAAAAGCCTCCTGGGGCTAAGAAGCCAGGCCAGAGTTAACCTGCAATCCTTCTAGATTTAAGTGAAACCCTCTCTTCTTGAGGCCCCACAGTATTCTAGGTTCCTCGGCTTGCTAGGAAGGGGTCTTCCTTCCTCACCTGTAAGCTGGGAACCCTGTAAGCCAGGTACAGGCTGCTTTTCCTAAGAGGGCTTTGTAAAAACCATTGGCTCCATAAAATTGACCCTAGTTCCTTAAAATTGTCTGATCATATCTGATTCTATGTGTCCTTCTCCACATGATATTCTGGCCAAAGCCTTGGTTATATATCAGTGCTTTGAAGTATGTCCCATTACAAGGAGGATGGATTCTTACTGAACCCCCATGATTAGTTGTAGTGCCATGAAAATAGGTATACTCAGTAAGAGTTCTCAAATTCTGGGGTGCATGTGAGTGGCTAAAACACTCAACCTATTTCCAATTAGCCCTTTTTCCTTTTCCATCTCAGATATTTGTTTTAAGGGTTCTCTGGTTCCCTGAGAGCCCTGAGAGGGATGGGAAACCTAGAGTTCAGGGATTGTGGGAGCTGAGGGTGGGAATGGGAAGGGAAAGTTCCTTCAGGGTGGAGAGAGCTGGGGCTTTGCAGGGGGGCATGTCAAAGTGTACCAGGAAACTGAAGGGGAGATGGAGGTGGCGAGAGGAGGAAGTCAAGGAACAAAGGTGAGGCGAAGGCAGAGGGCTTAGATGGGCCAGTCTGGGGATGCGTGAAGCTTCCCAGAGAAGCCAGTGAGGTTCCACATTATCCTTAGTCAAATCATGCCAGTGGCATGAATCATACAGCAGACTGTTTGGGAAGGGATGGTGAAAAATACAAAGGATTCTGTCTAACGTTTGGCCAAAAAGAGTTTTTATCACGGCCAGTAAAAGATCTTTCCAGAAAGCAGTTTGGGAAGGTAGTAAAGGCCATAGAATTATGGCTTTTGTGCACCAAAAGGTGTTTCTCCCAAGGAAACCGTTGAGAAGAGAGAACTCACACAAAGATACACCACGCAATACTTTTTATCCTGGTTAAAAATGGGAAAACTTAACGTTCTAAAAATAGGAGATTGCAAACCATGGTGCTTCCATACTCAGTAGTGTTACACAGCCATTTAAAAAGATATCTTAATGTGGGGGAACACTTAACAAGTGAACAGAATGTAAAATATACATGAACCTAATTCCAAATTGATTTTAAAAGCAGCAGAAGGAAATATCATAAAATGTTGGCCTTCATTTTTCCCTTTGCTTTTCAGTCTATTTCTAATTTTCTTTAATTATGATGAGCAGATTTTCCAAATGAAACATCAAGTGACCGATATGCATATATTTTAGGAATTGGCCAATAACATGTGTGTTCAACCGTCACTGTGTCATTAACAGAAATTGTGAAAAATTGTGTCCAGGTGGACTTTACCGTTTTTCTGGGAGAGATAGAGGTTAATCAGCCAGTCACACAAGTCAGTCCTAAATCCCCCTGTGGGTAGTGTTGTAGGGCTGAGGACCACTTTGAGAGCATGGGAATAAGATGGTCAGGAATTGTCACCAAGCTGGGATCTGAGGAAGAGCAGTAGCAAATGTGACCAACAGGAAAGTTGGAGGTGTTCTCGGGGTGGGGAGGGGAATCGGTATGTGCAAAGGTCCCGGGGCAGGAACAAATAGCTACAAGGATCAATGAGGCCAAAAGAGAATAGACTCTTGTAAGGGGCCAAACCCACCTTGTCACATAGGAGAGGGATTTAAACTAGACACATAGAAATATCAGGTGAGAGCACACCTGGGCATCACATGAAGTGTCTAATTCTGGCTGGGCCACTCTGCACTCAGAATGTTTTGTCCATTTGGTTTTGTCCACACCATTTGGTGTGATTAGACAAGGCCCCTCAGGAATCTGTCTTTTGTGTGTTGCAGGGACTTTAAAGGGATCATCCTGACCCTTCTCTGGGAGAGTAATGAGCATCTGTTGAACGTGGTAGAGGTGAGGGCTGCTACCTACAGGCCTCGGCCTGTCCCTTGACCGGCTGTGGGCCACACATCACAGCTGCCTCTGCCTCTTTTGTTCTGCTGATAATGGCCTTATGGGTGAAATTGAGGAAAGGGATTCCAGCTCCCACACCCACAAGTACCCACCTTCATGTCACGTCCTGTGTCTTCCTAAAAATTAAACCTCATTCAATAATTTATCTATGTATTGATCCACAAGACTTTTCCCAGACACTGTGTGTCAGATACTGAGTGGGCCAAAACAGCAAGCCCAGTCTCTGTGCCTGGGAGGCCAGTGTCCCGCAGATGGGCGACAGGCATGATGGCCTCATGGGTGGGGCTGCTAGAGCAGGCACCCTGGGGGGGACATCCAATGGGAGCTACCCAGTGCCCAGTTCCTGCACACCCCACACGCAGGTGTCTGTGCATGTTCCTGTCAGCCTCCCACTGGGCTGCAAATCCTTCAGAACTGGGGCTCTGAGTCTTCCATATTGGTGGTACTCGGCCTAGTACCCAGCTTGGCACTTCAGAGAAAGCATCGTAGAAAGCTATAGACCTGATCATTGAAATAAGATTCCATTTGGGTCTTGAAGGACAAATAGAGTTTTGCCATTCGGTCATGTGTGCCTTGCATCTGGGATAAGGACAGTGGTGAAAAGGGCAATTGGGTAGGAGGAGTGTGGCTGGCAGGGGTGCCATCAGGAGAAAGGGCTAGGCGGCGTGGAGGACAGGGTGGAGGTCGTAGGAGCGTGGTGATGCTCTGGAGCCCCGTGGTGATGGTCAGCCTCTCCTGCAGGAGTTCTATCGCAGAGAGAAGCGTTCCATCACCAGGCCTGACTGCATGTATGAAAACTTTGACCAGTGCGCTGAGAACATCTGCAAGAAGATCCTGGAGTACCACATGCAGGCTGATGAGTACCATAACTCCTGCCTCATAGGTGGGTGCAGGTGGCAGGCAGGTGGGCGGGTCAGGGGCATGGCACATGCCACCAACTGAGGGGAGCCTGGGCCTCAGAGCCCGCAGGAAGCCTTCTTGACCTGGAGGCCACTGGGGGAGGCCTGGGAGGCTCCCTAAGAAGAGCCATCCTCTTAGGGTGAGGTCAAAGTGTTGATCGGATTGAACTGGGAGGAAAAGCAATGCTGGAAAAAAAAATCATGTTTCTTGAGAAATCTGGTGATGGGCATCACTAAGAATGCTTTGTTCATTGCACAGATGACTTTGAGAGCTTTACTGAGATACTCACATGCCGTCCTGTTCGCCCATGTAGAGTACAAGCCAGTGGATTTTAGGAGACTCACAGAGTCAGACAACCATCACCACTGCCAGTTTCAGAACCCCTGTCCCTCCGTGACTGCCCCAGCCCTCAGCACTGCTCAGCAGCTTTCTCCCTCTATAGATTTTCCTAATCCAGGCTTGCGTATGAATGGAACCATGTACTGTGTGGTTTTTTGTGACCGGCTTCTTTCATTTTCTGTAATGTTTTCAAGGTTCACTCATGCTGTAGCAAGTGGCACTATTTCATTCCTCTTTATGGCCAATTCTTATTCCATTGTGTGCACGTACCATGGTTCGTTTATCCATTCATCTGGTGGTTTCCACCTTTGGCCACTGTGAATAATGCTGCCACATGCATTCGCACATGCATTTCGTGTGGACGTATGTTTTCACTGCTCTTGGATGTATATAACAAATTGTGGAACAGCTGGGCCCCGTGGTAACTCTGTATTTGACCGTCTGAAGAAAACTTTCCATGGTTGTTTGTTTAAGTGTCTACTGTATGCCTGGCCTGTGCTGGGCTCTGATGACCCCAACAGACACAGCCTCCTGGAGAGCAGGGACACAAAAACAGGTAGAACACATTGTCTGTTCACGTTTATTGTAATGACTTGAAAGAAGCTGTGAAAACACACCCAGTGCCCACCTTTGTCATCTCTCCACGTTCCTCCACAGCTTTGTCCATAGCCATGTCTGTTGTATGCTCTTGTAAGCCCTAATTATTCCTGCTTCTAAGGCAGGAATCCTGAGGGCCCCTCACAAGCATGCTTATTGGTAGAAGAGGAAGAGGATCAGGGGACACCCAGACCTCAGATCAAGACCCAGCACTGTCATCTCCCTGCCTTGTGACCTTGATTAAGTCACCTCAATTCTGTGAACCTCAGTTTCCTTATCTGTACACCAGAGATTAGGACAACACTCACTGCCGCAGAGACCCGCCACATCCAGGGAAAATCAGCCGTGTGGGGCTAGCTGCTGTTACAGTAGAGCGACTGGATCTCAAACTGTTTCTCTAGCTCAGAATTTCCCCACATGAACTCCAGGATCCCAGCCTCTATGACCGTCCTCAAACAAAAGGTTCTGGTCAAATGGGTTTGGGAAATGCTGCAGATTATGTCCTTCTCTGCAGGAGTCACAGTTCCCATTAAATGGTGACTTCCATTTCCCAAAGCATGGGAGTCCAGTATCCTGACCAATGTTCCCACTGAAAACATTTGAAAGTATTGGATATAATATTTTTGTGATAAAGTCATTTTTTTAAAAATATTATTTATTTATTTATTTGAGAGAGAGGGAACATGAGAGAGGTCAGCTGGAGAAGCAGATTCCCTGCTGAGCAGGGTGCGCGATGTGGGACTCAATCCTGGGACTCCAGGATCATGACGGGAGCTGAAGGCAGCTGCTTCACCAATTGAGCCACCCAGACACCCTGTGATAAAAAGTCTTTTAAATGTCTTGGTGAGCTAGCAATAAAGTAAGAAACACACAAGGCCCCTAAATTGGGTGACAATAGGAACTCCAAGAGAGAAATTGAATAGTAACACATTGCCCGAAGGCCTTTGCTGACTCCCAGGTGAACTTACACCTTTATTTTCGTGGGTCTCCAGGGCCTTGGGAAGAAGAGACAAAGCCCCAGACCACCCAAGGGAGAAAGTCTGGAAGGACACAAGCCACAGAAAACTGGGACCCCAAAGGGCTCCAGCTGCAGAGTAGGACAAATGAGACAGAAACCAAGCCCCCCTCCCCATTTCCACACCACTACCACCACCAGTGACTAGAAGGAAACAGTCTTTTTTTTTTTTTAAGATTTATTTATTTATTTATTTGACAGACAGAGGTCACAAGTAGGCAGAGAGGCAGGCAAAGAGAGAGTGGGAAGCAGGCTCCCCGCTGAGCAGAGAGCCCGACGTGGGGCTCGATCCCAGGACCCTGAGACCATGACCCAAGCCAAAGGCAGACGCCCCAACCCACTGAGCCACCCAGGCTCCCCTAGAAGGAAACAGTCTTATTAGAAACTCTGCTACTGGGTAAAGCAGAAGGAAAACTCCAATGAGAACCCATAGCTATTGGGACGCCTGGGTGGCTCAGTTGGTTAAGTGGCTGCCTCTGCCTCAGGTCGTGATCTGGGATCAAGTCCCGTGATGGGCTCCCGCTCAACAGAGAGTCTGCTTCTCCCTCTGCCCCTCACCCCTGCTTGTGCTCTCTCTCTCTCTCTCTCTCTGGCAAATAAATAAAATCTTTAAAAAAAAAAATCCATAACTATAAAACAGCTTTTGTGCTTGAATTTGACTTTGTTTTTGCGGATCATCCAAAAGACTTCCATCGAATAATATAGCTCAAAATGAGCTCGTGTTAGTGGTGCCCAGATGCTTACCTGGTGGAGACAACTACACATCCTTTCTAGAAAAAACCCGCCTTCAGTTAAGACCTCTAAGGATTCTCACACATCAAATGTCCAGAATAAAAACTCACAGTAAGATAACAGACAAACACACACGCACGCGCGCACGCACACACACACACACACACACACACACAAGAAAGGGGCCCCTTAAGTGTGAGTCACAGAATGAGATCAGCAAAGACTTTGGCTATTGAACATATCAGACCAGAATATAAAATCATGTATTTATTATAATTAATTAGAATTAATTATTAGAATTTATTAGAATTAATCAATTAATGAGTAAGGAGTGAGAAGCTATTAAAATGACCAAGTAGATAGGAAAGAGAACCACATAGAACTTCTAAATTGGAGAAATAAATAGATGAAGTTTTAAAATTATGAATGGCTTTACTATCAAAGAAAACATCCAAAATACAAAGCAGAAAAACAAAGAGATCACAGTCTGGGAGAGAGGCAAAGGGATATTGGATGAGAAGGTAGATCTAACATAGAGCTACTTAGGGGTCCAGAGGGACAGAAGGGGACTGGAGTCAAGGCTGTCTTTGAAGGGATGAGAAAGACTCTTCAAGAGTGGCTGCACTTTTCATGAGCTGGGAGGTCCTGCCGAGTGGTGAAGAGAAGTCCTTTGAACTTGCTTAATTCAGTGTTTTCCACACTGCTCTGAGGTAGCTGTTGCCAGGTGGTAGACCCCGTCTTTTTCTTTGGGACATTGCTTTGGGATTTTGTGAGACTGACCACTTCAGCACCTGCCTTTTCCTGTCCCCTCCCTTGATCCTCCCACCTCCAATTCTTATAGAATTGCGGGCCCAGATGAGGAGATTTGAGGAGCTGCTGCCCCAGGTGTGCTGGCTGGTGATGGAGAACTTCAAGGAAAACCACTGGAAAAGATTCTGTGTCTCTGCCGAAGAGATCCGGGGACAGTTCCGGAATTATCAGGAGAAGCTGGAGAAAGGGAAGGTGGGGGCCCCCAGCCCAGCCCTTCCTCTCTAGGACCAAGGGCCCTGAGAGCTCAGAAATGGAGGCAGGGCATAGGCAGAACTGGCCAGGCTGGGGTTGACGGATTGGCTCTGAGGGGAGAGGCATAGGGCATTGGAGAAATGTCTTCTTCATAGAAGGTGTTCAATAAACTTATTTTTTTATTTACTGGGTGGGTTTGCTGTTTCTGTGGGAGTGTGGTCATTGACATCAACAGTGATGGGCTACCTGGTCCTTAGAGGCATGGGACATGGATGCCATCAATTTTATTGGACTAAGGCCCTGGTTGTGCTGAGGCAGCTGCTCAGCTCTCCCATTCCCTAGCTCTCAGTGTCAGCTCCAACCATGCCCCCATCTGGCCTTCTCTGCCTCTCCTCTGCCCATCCATGGCCCTTCACACACCCAAGTTGGAGCACACATCATTCTGGCCATGGCCTTTATTAGCAGAGGACATGGGCCAATGACCTTTTGTTCCTGACCTAGAAACCAGGTCAAAACCCCCACCAATTTCTGGATTATTTGATTGAAGGATGAAAATGCCCAGAAGCTCCATCCAAATCTTGGACATCCCGCACATTTCCAAGAAATGGAGTCTCTGTGTCAAGTGGAAGAGAAAAGGCAGAATGATTTAGACACCATGATCGTGACAACCAGGGAAAAGCTTGAGGTCAGTGGTGCCCAGGTCAGGGTGCTGAGGGCAGCACTGCCCCTCCTCTGCCCCAACTGACAGTCCAGCGACAGCACTGAGCATGGCACCTAGCTGGCATCCTGGCTGAAGATGGGCATGAAAGTCAGCATGTGTTGTGGGCTGGCTCGTCATTATTGGCTGGTCTCACATGTGTCTTTTGATTTCTTAGTTCGTTAACTATAAAATTACTAATGAGAACTTCTTTTTTCGAGATCCATGTCTATTTATATCTCTTTAGTGAATTGCTTGTGGGCATCCCTTGGCCACTAATGAATCACTTCCTATCTTCAAGCCCAGTCAGCTTTTGGGAGAGGCCTCTTGGCTGAGGACCAGACGCCACTTACCTTGGACATAGCCGACACATGGCTTTGGTCTTGTCTCACCTGCCGTCTCCCCAAGTCCTCCCTTGGCCTGCCTTTGGAGGCAGCCTCCTCTCCCTGCAACACCAGGCTGCCCATGTTTTCCCCAGGAATTCACCAGGAGGTACGGCCGGCATTTCATAGCCAACTTGGCCTCCTTCACCGAGAAGTTCCTGCTGCAGTTGGATGAAGTGGTCACCATCGATGATGTCCGGGTTGCAAGTAAGTCATGCCACCGGCCTTATGCCTGGGCCCCAGGGGGTTGGTGAGGTGGAGGGTGATGGGCCAGAGCCATCTGCTTTTCCCCCATTCCACCAGAATGAAAACAGACTTTCCACTCAGAGGATTGATGGATTTTTGTTTTCATTAAAAGTAAAGTGTTAAAAAAAAAAAAAAGTAAAGTGTTGTTGTTTAAATTAAAAAAGCAAATCCCCACGTGGGTCAAAAATTATATGTAAAAAAATAAAACCCTAATAGTAAATATTTTCATAATCTTGGGGTAGGGGCAGCTTTCCTATGTATGAGAGGAAAGCCAGAAGCCATTAAGGAAACGGCCGGCACTCTTCTGTGGCCAAAACAAAAACAAAAAAAAAATGTCAAGAAATTGAAAGACAAACTACAAACTGGATAGATATTTTATGAGACTGACGTGCTGCCTACTGCGCTAAGGAGGCACCTGGACAGATATTTTAGCAAGCTACTATATATAAAGATGTGAATCATGTATTAAATGTTATCCATCTATCACTAACTTAGCAAGTAATTAAAATATTTTTATTTTAAAAAGCTTGTTTTCCAAGGACAATACATTTTTATAGTAAAATTAAGAACTCACTATCAGTTCCAAAGGAAGTAAAGTAAAGAACACAGTCTTTCCACCCAGAACGAAGTGCCATTTCTATTGGCTGTCCATCCTCCAGGCCTTTCCTTTTGGGCACAGGTCTGAGCGTGTGTGTCTTTGTGGGGCAGATTATAGGGTATGTGCTCTTTTATAACTTAATTCACCCTCAAGTGGTCATTGGCCAAGCCAGTCAGTCATCTTCTTGAGAATTTTCTCTTACTGTGCATCCTAATTTATTACTTAGTTCCTTGCTGTTGAACATTGGGCCATTTCCAGTTTTTCACTCCTGTGCTTGTGCTGAAGGGAGCATCTGCATCCTTATATCTCTATTCTGGGGCTCTAGGTTCCTAGAAGTGGACTTTTGGGGTCAACATATATATGCATGTTGAGGCACTGGTCACGTTCCCATACTGGCAGTCTCTCTGTCCAGGGTGAGCCCTGTGTGGGAAGCGGGGCCTGCAGAGGCATTAGAGATGAGGGAGAACGGGCAGACCAGCCAGCAGCGAAGACACTCTCAGTACCTTGGAAGGAACCGGGATGCTGGGGAGACGCCCTGTATCAGCCCCAGGGAGGCCTTTCCTGCTGTAAGTCAGGCTCCCTCCCTGGGAGATTGGGGCTGCCCCTGCCTGCTGGCTTTCATACCACTGGTGTGGCCCTCTCAGGAAAGCACATCGAAGGACAGGTCAGTGAGCCAGACATCAGAGAGATGATTTGAATATTTTTGCCCCAGGGGTAGTTCTTCCATCAGAACCCATTTGCGCTAGTATGAACTAAAACTTATCTGGAGGCTCATGGGAACTGTGTGAAGGTCAGAGCATCGTGTCCTGGGCTTTGGAGCTGGGAAGGGCACCTAAGCCATACTTCCCATCACTCAGCCAGGCCCCCTGGCCGCCGCTGCTGGCTGCCCCCCTCCACCCCAGGCCTACAGATCTGGTGCCCTCAGCTTCTCTGTGGGACCAGGCTCTGTGACCCCCTGGAGACTCCAAGTGGGAAGGAGGGGAGGAAGCCCTCATCCCTCCAAACGTAAGGTCAGGGGGAAATCCCCTTGATCTCAGCCTATGCGTGAGGCCATGGTCATAACCTGTCTTTTGCCTGCCAGGGATGGAGTCCCCCAAACAGAAAACATCAATCCTCATACGGAGGAAACTTGCTAGGCTTTCCCTGAAGGAAGAAAGTGAGAAGCCCCTGATTGAACGGGGGAGCAGGTAAGAGCCGAGAGCATTGAGGAATACTCACCCAGGGTGGTGTTTGCTGGAGCACAGGGCAGTGGGATGGTTAGGAGCCTGGAAGCCTTGGAAAAGCATTATGTTCTAAGCCTCAGTTTCCTCTCCTGAGAAATGGGCATGTCCAGCCCACCTTCCATGGCATTCCAAAGAGAAAGTTCGATGAGATCTTTCTTAGAATGCCTCTGGCACATAACAAAAGCTCAGCAGCTATTAGTTTCCCTGCTAAAGACACACAAAGTGGGGGGGGGCTACAAAAAAGAGAGGCCCATCCCAGTATGGGGCACATTCTCGAGGTGCTGGTGGCACCATGAACCCCTGCATGGGAGTTGTCAAAGTGCTTATTCCCTGGGCCCCAAGAATGTGGCTCTGGAAGAAGTCAGGCAGTGATTTGCCCAGCCTAGTAGGAAAAATGGGCCAGGAATGGGTGCCTGTCACCTGGCCGGCCCCCTGCTGAGAAAACAGGCCTGGTAAAGGGAGCCAATCAGCGGTATGGCATTCCTCCCGCCCTGCGCAGAACCCAAGACCGTCCACGCACACGGATTTAAACAGTGTGAAAGTACGAGATAGAATTTGAAGAAGCATAATGTTAAGTGCTCAGTAGGGTTTTCCTCTTAATGATAATATTTCAGACATGATGTTTAAAAAAAAAAAAAAAAGATCTGCTAGGCTCTTCCACCAGGATTGGAGGGTGCGCTGTGAACGATGATGAGGACAAGCCTGTCCAACTTCACCGTGTGTGTTTATATGCAGGAAGTGGCCAGGAATCAAACCCACCGAAGTCACCATCCAAAATAACATTCTCCTCCGGAAAACATCATGCATCACCACCACCAAAACGACCCTGGGTCACCTGGCAGCCGTGGAAGCCCGAGATGCTGTCTACCTGGTGAGCGGAGAGACCAGGTGGGGCCAGGTGGGACCCAGGGAGCACAGGGCAGCTCTTTGGCTGCCTTAGGAAGAAGGGAGCTTCCTGTCACAGGGTTCCCCGAGCTTTGGCCCATGGAGCAGATGACCCATGTCAGGGTGCCCCAGAGCATGGTGTCAACACTCCAGATGGTTAATGTTCTCAAGCCCGAGGCTGAGATCTGCAGGTCATGTCCAGTCCCAGTGACAGCGTGGGTCTGATGGCTTGAGCCCCGGTGTTGAAGGACATCCCACCCAGACTGGGGGGTGAAGGAGGACCTTCCGGAGGAATGGTTGAGTGAGACCGAGGGGACAGAGGCCACGGGAGCAGTGGGCGGCCGTCCTGAAGACCCTCCTCATCTGGCCTCCTCCTGCTGCTTTGCTCCTAGAAATATCTAACACTGTTTGAAAAGGAGTTGAAGAAGATCCAGGAGGACAGCATGTTGCAGGTGAAGGAGGCTCAGAGCTGGAAGGACTGCTGGAAGCGCTCCGTGCTTACCATCCAGGGCCTGTACTTGTGATACCCTCAACCCACCCCACGTAAAGGCTCATTTTTACTAGATTCCTTCTCTCTCTGTCTATCCGTCCATCTATCCATCCATCCCTGCTCTGTACCCAGCTCTGTAGCTCCATCAGTGACCAGGACATGGTGTGGTCTCTGTCCTTGTGGAGGTCACTTCCAAGGAGGAGGACGGAGGGGAAAGGGGAGTTCCACGTGGTTAGCAGGGATGGTGGGTCACAGGCGTGGGCCATTTAAAAGAAAGACCAGCACTTCAGAGGACGTAATTCCAATAGGCATGCTTGGCACTTCAGCTTGGAAAACGCAATAATTAAAATGTATGAGCATGAATACATTTTACATTTCACAGTGTAAAATAATTGCAACCATGCAACCAACAAAGAATTAATCCAGTCTTGATTGGGTATCTGTCTGGCAATTTGCCTGGCCAAATTAGAGCATTTTGAGGAAAACCTCCCAGGCCTTCTTAATTTTCCTGGGACCTCTAATCTTGTGAGACTCAGATCCTTCTCTCTAGAAGCCTACATGGTGCCATCTTCCTTGTTGATTTTATCTTCCTGGATTAGGTGGCCTAATCATGCCAAGTCTCATTGGTCAGTAGTTCTCTGTGGCAGATGGACAGGCTGCCTACATTCCTTCCTTGACTTCGTCAACTCCTGTTTCTTTTACCTGGTTTGTGTTTGGACTTTGCATCAGTTTGGATTTTCCCATGTTTAACCTCTGTTAATGACTTGATGAGGGGGGCTTTTGCCCCTGCTTTACAGGTGTGGAAACGCAAATCCAGAAGGCGGAGACAACCTACTTAAAGGCACACAACCAGCATAGACCTTCAGCATAATTTTTGGTTCCCAAACGTGGACGAGGACTTGGGGACAAGTCGTTTGTTTTGGAGATGATCCCAAGGAGCATGGGGAAGGGGAGACTGGAAGGCGACTTAGCCTCGCTCCCAGCCCTTCCACCTCCCACAGCAGGCACATTCTGTCCTCCTCACCTGTCCCCCACCCTGCATCACCTGTCCTCTGGCCTGCTGCTGACCTGTCTCCTGACCTGTTCACCTATAACCCCGGTCCACACTAGGGGCTGTGGGCTCACTGTAGCTCCACATGCCCGCAGAAGTGGACTGCAAGACTCCAGTCCTCTTCCCTCAAATCTACCCTTCGGACCTTAAGGATTCCCCATAGAGCAGGTAGTTAGGAAAATGGATGCCACTGCCCCAGGACAGAGCTGCCTCCAGTCTCTTTATAACTCTCCCTCTTGTAAGTTCCCCTGTGTCTACTCTTCCTTAGCCACACCTCCATGAAGTCAGTGTGAGTGAGTGTGCCTGTGCCCAAGTGAGGATGTGGAGAGGAAAATGACCTTATATGGAGAAGGGGGTAGACAGGGGTCTCCCTAGGATCTTAGAGGCTCTCAGCATCAAGTAAACCCCTAAGGGAGGTGTTGAGCCCTGCCTAAATCTCTTCCTTTTCCTTTAGACTCTGCCCACCTCCTAAGCCCCAGACCAGTCACTGACACACTCCAGGCCTCAGTTTCCTAATTGTGTAACGAGAGACCAGATACAGAACCACATATGTGGATGTTCGGTGAGGTCAGGCTCCACCAAAACAGGTTGGAGGTGTCAGGGTGGAGTAGCATGGGTTCAGAAAAGAAACCAGGGCATGGCAGCCAGTCTGTCTGCCCATAGCCAGGCACATACAAAGGGCCCTGGGGAAGACCTGAGAAGAGTGCATACACGTGAGCCCTCAAACTGATGTGTGCACGTGTGCTGTACACGTGAGGTTGCTCTCCTGCAACCAGTTCTGTGCACCCCACAGCTGCTGAAACCTGAGTCACAAGTTCTCCCCCAGACCCATGCAGGGGTGTCACTTTAACTAGGACTGAGGGTAGGGAAGGGGCAGTTCCCCAAAGAAATGCTGATGTACTACCGTTCCCAACAGACAAGGACGTAGATGTCGGGCAGGCAAAAGCTCCCCAAGTCTCAGAATCATGCAAGCTGCCTCCAAACCTGTCTCTGCCACTATGCTCAGGGGACTGTCCCCAGAGAAGGGACTTGTCTTGTCCAAAATCACACAGTGATTCAATGGCCAACCTCATATTTTGGTTAGGCTTGGATTTGCCTATATATAGCAGAAAACCCAAAGTAATGTGGCATAAACAAGAGAGAGATTTATATCTTTCTCATATAAAAGAACTCTTTTTCTGTCATGCGACAACTCCAGTGACCCCCACCCCCCGCAACTGGACAATGACACTGACTTATTTGTGACTTACTCAAAATAACCAGAGAAAATTACTTATGTTCAGGGAGATGGGCTGTCCTCAGTAACCCCCCTTCTCTGTATTCATAAAACTGTCCCACCTCCCCTGCGGTGGAGGACATTTGCTAATAAAAGAAAACAAAAACCAAAACAAATCCCCCCCTCCAAAACTCTAGAGGCGGGCAGTCCTTACTGATCCTGGACTGCTCGTCATGGAAGACCCCATGTCATCTGTCCTCCAGCATCTTAGCTTGTGGTTTCCATCATTCAGTCTGTCCCTGGCCAGGGTGGCTGGCTGCTGGAGCTCCAGCCTAGACCAGCCACCAGGCCTACACTTGAGACGGCAGCAGGAGGAAAGGAGGAGGGCAAAAGAGGACCTCCCAGCTGTGTCTGGGCCATCTGGCCAGCCTCCCTGAAGTCCCACACCACACTCTGATCACATGTCATTGGCCTGAACTTTGGTCACTCTTAGCTGCCACAGAGGTTAGGCACTTTAATCTTTTCATTTGTAGAATTGCTGCCCAAATTAAAACTGTCTGTCTTTAAGCAAAGGGTGAACAAAAACTGTGGAAACTACCAGCACGCTTTGCTACCCAGAACTCCAAGATGAAGAACAGGAGAGGGGGTTCTTTACAGGTGGGTAGGATGTCTGCAGCCTCTCTTTCTTTCATGTTCACTCGTTCACAGAGAGAACAGTCTCTGCTCTAAACCACAGCGTATGAGCAGGACTTCTGCTTTGGGCTTCCAACAGAATGATGGGAACTACTGTGTTGGCTTTCATCTGCTTGTCCCTTACAGGAAGATCTGAGCAAATCCTTCTCTATTTCATAAATGGGGTGGGTAGAGGTCAGTTTGTGAAGTCTTTTAAGCAAACAACGTGTTCCTGAAATGCTGAGTCAAAATTATATCTCTGTAAATCAAAGAATAGAATCTGTTGACCCCACCATGTTGAACCTCACGGTGATTATACTAGTAAAAATAATACACACAAAATAAAACTAACAGTGGTTAACATCGTTCATGGTGAAGCTCACTGACTAAAAATTAATGGAGGAAAAAATATATTTGAAAAATATTTTGATAGGCATAACTTGACCCCAGAAAAATGACTTGATAAAAATAATAACCCTCTAAAATTTATAATAGCAGAATCTGTAGTCAGCAAATTATGATCTGGGCCAAAAATCAATTTATGTAAAAAAAGTATCTTGATATAAATAGTTGCAGTGACTTAATAATAAAAGTAGATAAGCTACAATTGAGTTTCTGTACTACATATTTGTTTCTCGAATGTTGTCTCACTTTTTAGCACTTAACCTCATATTTTATTTTATTTTATTTTTTTTTTTTTATTAAATTTTATTTTTTATAAACATATATTTTTATCCCCAGGGGTACAGGTCTGTGAATCGCCAGGTTTACACACTTCACAGCACTCACCATAGCACATACCCTCCCCAATGTCCATAATCCCACCCCCCCAACCCCCCTCCCCCAATTAACCCTCAGTTTGTTTTGTGAGATTAAGAGTCACTTATGGTTTGTCTCCCTCCCAATCCCATTTTGTTTCATTTACTCTTCTCCTACCCCCTTAACCCACCATGTTGCATCTCCTCTCCCTCATATCAGGGAGATCATATGATAGTTGTCTTCTCCGATTGACTTATTTCGCTAAGCATGATACCCTCTAGTTCCATCCACGTCATCGCAAATGGCAAGATTTCATTTCTTTTGATGGCTGCATAGTATTCCATTGTGTATATATACCACATCTTCTTTATCCATTCGTCTGTTGATGGACATCTAGGTTCTTTCCATAGTTTGGCTATTGTAGACATTGCTGCTATAAACATTCGGGTGCACGTGCCCCTTCGGATCACTATGTTTGTATCTTTAGGGTAAATACCCAGCAGTGCAATTGCTGGGTCATAGGGTAGTTCTATTTTCAACATTTTGAGGAACCTCCATGCTTTTTTCCAGAGTGGTTGCACCAGCTTGCATTCCCACCAACAGTGTAGGAGGGTTCCCCTTTCTCCACATCCTCGCCAGCATCTGTCATTTCCTGACTTGTTAATTTTAGCCATTCTGACTGGTGTGAGGTGGTATCTCATTGTGGTTTTGATTTGTATTTCCCTGATGCCGAGTGATGTGGAGCACTTTTTCATGTGTCTGTTGGCCATCTGGATGTCTTCTTTGCAGAAATGTCTGTTCATGTCTTCTGCCCATTTCTTGATTGGATTATTTGTACTTTAGGTGTTGAGTTTGCTAAGTTCTTTATAGATTTTGGACACTAGCCCTTTATCCGATATGTCATTTGCAAATATCTTCTCCCATTCTGTCAGTTGTCTTTTGGTTTTGTTAACGGTTTCCTTTGCTGTGCAAAAGCTTTTGATCTTGATGAAATCCCAATAGTTCATTTTTGCCCTTGCTTCCCTTGCCTTTGGCGATGTTCCTAGGAAGATGTTGCTGCGGCTGAGGTCGAAGAGGTTGCTGCCTGTGTTCTCCTCAAGGATTTTGATGGATTCCTTTCTCACATTGAGATCCTTCATCCATTTTGAGTCTATTTTCGTGTGTGGTGTAAGGAAATGATCCAATTTCATTTTTCTGCATGTGGCTGTCCAATTTTCCCAACACCATTTGTTGAAGAGGCTGTCTTTTTTCCATTGGATATTCTTTCCTGCTTTGTCGAAGATTAGTTGACCATAGAGTTGAGGGTCTATTTCTGGGCTCTCTATTCTGTTCCATTGATCTATGTGTCTGTTTTTGTGCCAGTACCATGCTGTCTTGATGATGACAGCTTTGTAATAGAGCTTGAAGTCCAGAATTGTGATGCCACCAACTTTGGCTTTCTTTTTCAATATTGCTTTGGCTATTCGAGGTCTTTTCTGGTTCCATATAAATTTTAGGATTATTTGTTCCATTTCTTTGAAAAAAATGGATGGTACTTTGATAGGAATTGCATTAAATGTGTAGATTGCTTTAGGTAGCATAGACATTTTCACAATATTTATTCTTCCAATCCAGGAGCATGGAACATTTTTCCATTTCTTTGTGTCTTCCTCAATTTCTTTCATG